CATGTTTTTGTAGTCGTTCGAAAACAAGATCCAGATGCTTGAGATGTGTTTCTCTGTCCGGACTTGCGATTAGACAGTCATCAACATACGCGTGTACGAAGTTGAGACCTCGAAAAACGTCGTCCATGAATCTTTGGAATGTTTGAGCAGCATTCCTTAGACCGAAAGGCATTCGCAAAAATTCATAGAGTCCGAAAGGAGTTATGATAGCTGTTTTTGGTATGTCGTCAGTAGCCATAGGGATTTGGTTATACGCTTTAACCAAGTCGATTTTCGAAAACACAGTTGTACCTTTCAAGGTAGCTGTCAAATCGTGAATGTGAGGCAACGGGTAACGATCGGGAATGGTTTTCGCGTTCAATCGCCGATAGTCACCAGTTGGACGCCAATCGTTGCTCTCCTTTTTAAGGACCATGTGCAACGAAGATGCATATGGGCTACTTGACGGTCGTATGATTCCTAAGTCCATCATATGATCGAATTCGTTTTTCGCTAACCTTAGCTTTTCAGGAGCTAGTCGTCGTGCTTTAGAGAATACAGGTGGTCCTGTAGTCGTGATGTGGTGTGTAACATTGCTGGTTACACACGGTAGTTTCGGTTGAGTTTGTCGTATCCCAGGGTACTTATCGAGTAGTGGCTGATAAAGTGGGTCTATCATATGTTTAATTGTGACTGGGGATACTCTGCAACCAGTAAAAGAAGTTACGCAAACGGACAAATTAGTGTTTCCGTCTACTAGACTCCGTTTGCGCGTGTCGATGATCAGATTGTGGTGTTGTAGAAGGTCCATACCAATAATTGGCATAGAAACATCTGCAATAACGAAAATCCAGTGGATGGGTTTGCGTAAACCCACGTTAATGTAAACGTACCTTTTGCCATACGTAGCGATCGGTTTTCCGTTTGCCGCCTGTAAGTTTAGAGCCGAATCTTGAAGCCGATCGTTCGGATTCGCTGGGAGAACGCTAACTTCTGCGCCAGTATCGACGAGGTAGCGAACTCTCGTTGTCACATCTGTGACGTATAACAGACGGCTATGTTCGCCGGCTACGGTTGCCGTTAACGCGTGCCGGCTCGGAAGTTTCCCGAATTGTTTTTCGGATCATTCGGTTTCGTGTTGGGAAAATTGCAGGGTTTTCTGCAATTTCTGGAAAACTTTCCATACTGGTTATGATACCAGCACCAGTCGGGGTTATCTGTCTCTCGTGGTCTAGAGACAGATCGCTTACGAGAAATGCTTCTACGTGGTGTGCGCGATCTCTTACGGTCGGTACGAAGACTAAGATAACGCGTGAGTGTGTGACATAAGTCGTCTATATCATTCTGAGTCGTTTGAGGTTTTTCTTTGACTGAAAATACCTCGGTAGTAGAAGGTTTCGTAATTTCTAGAATGCGGTCGGCAAATGCAGCTTGCTCGTCTAAGGCGTTGTTCTGGAACGAGACCAGAACTGCTTGCACCTGTTGGGGAAGTTTTGACAAGAAGAGTTGTTTGAATAGACCTTCGTCGAAAGTTCTTGGGCCTATTACCTCTCTCATCCGTTGCAACATGTCCGTCGCAGAACGGTGTTGCAGGTCGATGTTATTGAAGAGTTGATCTAACCTTTGTCGATCGGTTAGGTCTCCTCGTTTAAGAATCGAGCGTTTCAAGGTTTCGTAAGGTTCAGAAACATCACTAGTAAACATACTAGGTGTTACGTACCTGTTGAATTCGCGCGGTAGTGCCTTGACTACTGCGAGGAATTGTGCACGTGTGTCGATCACGCCGTGCTCGTAGAAGTCGGCTTCTGCGTAGCAAAACCAAGCTTCGATGTTGTCGGGCCAGAAAGGCATCAGTTGAAACGAAGGTGGGGACAAGGTCTTAAGCTTGAGTACTTTAGGTGTCTGTTCAGTCATGATGAAATATGAAGTACGATAATGAACGAGGGGAAAAAATATATATATCCAAGAAAAAATACGAAAAAAAATCACAATGTTTAAAAAAATAAAAAAATAAGGCAATGATATATAATAATCCCAAAAAGGAACAGACTCACAGTTGCAAATAGGTGTACCAGATCACGTCGGGCTCACCAATGATGATGCCACAGGTATTCAGTGTTTGACAACGCTTCTACCAGTAACACCCTCTAATATATTTCGTTCCCGCCCAGAGAAATCAAAAGACAGAGTCGAGGAGATAGGAAGAGTATATTTGGCGATGACCAATATATCGGAATTCTCTGATCTAATCTGGCTAGCGATTGCGGTTGATGTTGAGCACGGCGTTACCACACGTGATCTGGTGCGGATGCATGACCGAGCGCCTTCAGCTAGATGAGTCCACTAAAACATATGGTCAGCATCCAATGTCGAAAACTTACAGTGCTATTTATTTTGGGGATTTATTTACTGCTACACTCAACTGAAGCTCGGTTCTTCAACCTCATCGATAACTTGGGCCTATATGAAAATGTGAGGTCGGCAACTCGTTGGAGAAACAGTCAGACACCATCGCGCTTAGACTGTGTATTCACTAACGAAGAATTCCTAGTCGACAACCTCTCAATCCTGGCTCCTCTGGGAAAGAGCGATCATGCCGTCATAGCCTTCAGTTTTGTCATCAAAACTAAGCTAAGGTATCCCAACAATAATTTGCGTTGGAATTTTAAACGGCTGAATGTGCCAGCTCTACATGACTATCTACAACAAGTGGTTTGGGATGTTCACCCTCAACTCGATGTGGATGGTCATTGGGACTTCCTACTGCACACGCTCTTATGTGCTACAGACCATTCAGTTCCTCAAACGGTTCCCAAAAGCTGCAAGCCACCTACAGTAATCAAGAACCGTACCCTTCGCCTGCTAAGCCGCAAAAGGCACTGTTGGGCGGAATACAAACAAACTAATAACGATGGAGCGTATAGGCAATATAAACATATCAGGAACATATGCACGAAGGCTATAAGAGAAGACAGGCTTCAGTACCAAACAAAGCTTATGGACAAATTCGCCTCTAACCCTAGAAGCCTATTCCGTTACGCAGCCTCTCTTCGTCAAGCCAAAACAGGAGTTTCTCAACTGCTAGGTCTTAACGGCCCGACCAACAACTATGGCGACGCCGCTAACCTACTGGCGGCACATTACTCTCAAACATTTCAACCGGCTGACATCAACTTTATTGACGACAGTTTCATCTGCAATTCCACAGGACTTTCTGAAGTGGACCTAAGGAAATGTTACTCTTGTACAACCAACCTGCTGACTGCGGTGGACAGATGGACAAGCATCCTCGATCGCAAGGGAAAGGTTGATATCATCTACCTAGATTTCTCAAAAGCTTTTGATAAGGTTAACCACTTGTATCTTATCAATAAGCTCAAACGACTAGGTATCAAACCACCTCTAATCGATTGGCTTACTTCATACCTGAAAAATCGACACTTTAAGGTAAGGGTTAATTTCACTTTATCTCAGGCTATGGAATGTCCTAGTGGGGTCCCCCAGGGCTCAGTACTATGACCTCTTCTCTTCTTGATCTACATAAATGATCTTCCTCAACAGGCAACGTCAGACTTATTACTTTTTGTCGACGACGTGAAACTTTGGAGAGAGATACGCAACCAAGACGATACACAGGCACTTCAGGAGGATCTGACGCGACTTCAAAGTTGGGCAGACGATAACAGACTTACCTTTAACACTTCAAAGTGTAAAGTAGTCCATCTGCGACATGTCGCAAACTACAGTTACAACTTAGGAAACTCCTCTCTAGTAGTATCCAAAGTCGAAAAAGATTTAGGAGTCCTGGTGCCCCATGATTTGAAGTCCTACGCTAACTGTGACAAAAATGCCTTCCGAGCAAACCTTGCACTGGTAACGTTAAAGCGCATTTTGGGACAGTTTGATGGACGAACTTTCCATATAATCTTCAATAGTTTCATCCGTCTCCATTTAGAGTACGGAAACACAGTACTCCCCCCCTCACTCCAAAATGAGAGGGTCACTTTGGAGCGTATCCAACGGCTAGCCACGAAATTAGTTCGAGGACTCAAATTTAAACCTTACGAAGAGCGCCTCCATTCACTAGACCTTTACCCATTGGAGTATAGGCGTCTTAGAGGTGATTTATTAATGGCTTATAGTATTAATAACACTTCTGGGCATCCTCTTAAACACCTACTTAAGCTTAGTTCGAACAATAACCTAAGGAGTAACACCCAGAAACTGGAAACACAACATAGCAAAACGGAATGTAGACACAACTTCTACTCTTTAGGAGTTGTCAAAAGCTGGAATTCGCTGCCTGCCGAGCTAGTCCAAGCGACTTTCCAGTAGTCCTTCCAGAGGTAACTTGACCTATTCTTAAGGACCAAGGACAGCATCACACTATGATTTACCAATTTCTTTTCCTCTTTTATTGTTAACATACCTAGGTTCCTGCCTGGAGGATTTGGTGATCCCCTGCTACTAGACACGGAAGCCTGTTAAGCGAAAGCTTATTCTATTCCGTCCACAACCATTTGAACCATTTGAATGTTCTTTAGGACTAAGGAAAGTATCTCACTAAAATTCGCTAATTTATTCTTTTATCGTTAAATATACCAAGGTTCCCACCTGGTAGTATCGCTGATTCACTTTTACCGGATACGGAAGCTCATTAAGTGAAAGCTTCTTATATTCCATCCAGGACCATTTGAACAATTTAGGCCACTGAGCCTCCAATCAAAGGTTTTATCTAAATTCAATCAATACATGATCTTGCGTAGCCCTCCATCCACTGCTTGTAGTTAATAACGGTCTCACACCTGATGATATGGAATTATACATAAACACCAGTTGATTTACTTCAGCACTCCTTAAAGATATTGGATATTGTATGAGCCGCAAAATATTTGGCGCGGAAACATCCACAAGGCCATGGTTCTCGTGATATTAGGTAGTCGTGGTGGGATGTGTTTTCGATAATTTTCCAGGAATTCATTGGGCGCACGAGCGACTTGATGTAGACTTTTCTCTGTGATATGCTCGTGCCGATCAGTTTTTCATATTCAACGGAGACATATCAAAAACAGTTCCTCATTTCTTCCACACCACTTCCAAAGTCACATTTAGTTTTCCCGAATGTATTGCCTTACTCCGAAAAGGTGGCAGTAATGTTTAATGGTCTACAGGCTGCACCGTCTTTGAAATGTGCCAATCCGATGCCACAAATTGGCCATCCATTCATTATCGGAGGTCCTGTTTTAGCAGTTGGCAAATCAACTTTTTCTCCTGCTGGGTATGGGAATTCACAGAGGCTCGAAAATGGGTTCGTTTTTCAACCCAGTCTGGCCCGAAAAGTGTACATGCCCGAAAAGTCTTTGGGATTCGGTGCTTTTGGTGTTGTGTGGTAAAATCGCATATTATTGTTACCTTGTAGGTTGGTTGTTGATCCACGAACAGGCGACCAGGTTGCTCTTAAGAGAATCCCCAACATTTTTGAAAGCGTTGTGTCTGCTAAGCGAGCGTACAGAGAATTAAAATTGTTGTTCTCTTTAAAACATTTAAATGTAACAACACTAATTTTTATTAAACGCATCTAGATTGTCCGCCTGATTGATGTCGTAAAAGTCAGCAGTTCCTCTTTGTTCAGCGAAGTGTACGTCTCGTTTTACTTTCATCTAGGTTTTTTATAGCTCCGTTCTTTGCGAATATATGGATACTGATCTGCACAAAATAATCGTGTCCACTCAATATTTGTCGCTAGAGCATGTCAAACTTTTTGTCTATCAGATACTAAGAGGTAGGTGTAGTTTTTCTTACTTGAATGTTAGGTTTAAAATATCTTCATTCTGCTGGTGTTATTCATCGGGACCTAAAACCAGGGAACCTCTTGGTTAATTCTGACTGTTTATTAAAGGTAACTTATTTTAGTCCTTTTTAAAGAATGACGATTTAGAGACTTCAGGTCATATGTGTCTATTAAATAGTTATACAGTAGTACGGCAATTTTCCCTGCAACCATTGGTTTCCAGAGGTTTAGTTTTGCTAATCGATGAGTCATATTGTTTGAAATTCTTTAAGTAGCTTATTAAGCCACTCCTGAATCATTGATACAAGTTTTCCAGGTGGTGAAAGCTAAAGAGAAACTTACACAATTTGTAAACATAGTCTATTTCTCTACTATTATGAAAACTAACTTAACAAGTTTCTACGCTTAGGGAAGAAACTATATTTCGTCCGGGTTTAGAATAAGACTTTGTAGTGTGCTTTTTAGTAAGAATTACAACTAGATATTTATCTGTTGAATTCCCCAGAGCAACTTGAGTCCAGGGTCCTGTTTGCACTGTCAGTTAAAACAAACGTTCGTCTCACAATAAAACACTGAATCCTTCTATACACAGTAATCAGTCCACTTTGAAGAAATGTAATCAAACCTCATAATAAGAAATTTTCATGTCTTGTTTTAGCATCTTAATCATTTTGTGCGTGTAGTTCTGCCTTCATTTTGACAGAATTTGGAAAACAGGAATCGAAGCTGTGAATCACTTGATTTTTGAAGTTATGTACTCAACGTACTATCCAAGTCGTTAGTAATAAAATAAGCTATGCTGCCAAACTTAAATATAGCACCGTATACCAATAACCGCTTTTCGCGAGACATGCATGAGGATGAAGGCTTTAGCACAGTTTCGTAAGACTAATATGTTAGGCCAGTTGGTAAGTAACCTAAACAATCGTGCATTTCTTTCAACTCTGTTACGTTTATTCGGGCTTTGGTAGTCGGTTACTACTACTAGCTGTCATCTATGAAACGTAAATTGTGGCCGATTACTTAAACCTGTAGTTAATTATTGAGTTGTTCTGCATCTAAAAGTGACTAGAAGCTTTCGATTATTTTAGTCATGATTGGTCGCACTGATACAAGTTGGTTTACTATCTATCTTCCTCCGGATTATCCTGTTCTCGCGTTTTTTTTCATTTGTAGATTTGCGACTTCGGTCTTGCTCGTTCAGTGCCATCTTTTGGTGTAGAAAGATCTTGTAATCCACTAACCCTTGAAGTTGTGACTCAATTCTATAGACCACCAGAACTACTTCTAGGTTCGAATTTTTATACAGCTGCCGTCGATCAGTGGAGCGTTGGCTGCATACTTGGAGAGCTTCTTTGTCGTCAAATTTTATTTCAAGTGAGTTTAATAGCTACCACTATTTCAATAAATTTTGTTCTTTATACTTTGGTTCATAAATTACTGTACAAATTACGTTTCTGAAGTTAAGATTTCTAAGATATCTCAATTTAAGCTCTGATGTATGCTCCTTTGTAATCGCTTTACATTTCATTGTCACGTTTCGTTAATCGCTTACCTAGTGCACATTTGCCCTATGATAATTAACTGACAACATAAGTTTGCATGATAAAAGTCGCCTGCATACCCATGGCCTTTGCTCTAATCGCTTGTTTTACTAGCTATTAAGTATTCTTCTTAATTATTTAGTTGAAACTTCTACTTTTGTACAAGAAACGTAGTCTTTATACAAATACAGTATTCATTTTTTAAACATCAATGACGGAATCGTCTATGAATTGGTGTTTTTGAAAAAGATATTTATGTTGTACGTTTACAAATTTTGTACAAGGTCTCAGATACACATTTCTATCGAACACCAATATATCTGAAAATAATGTCCAGAGCCTTCTTTCAATTGTGTTTTTGATCTCAATGCTTTATTTGTCACAAGGCAAAACGCTCTTCAAAAATGCAACTTTTAACCCATATAGTGTTAAATGTGACGTTTCCTCAGTTCTGCACATACAGAAGTCATTCCCACCTACTGCCTTACGTTCGTCACATTCATACAAGTTACTCTAAATTTCTTGTTCTACTACAAATGTTACTATGATGCGGTGGCCGAACTTACGTTTCGTGACGGGCGGGTTGAGCTATATCGACTGGAATAATTGTTTTTCGTTCTGCCACACCAGACATGTAGTTTGCCTAGTGGTTAGGCCGAGTGCAACGAATTTAAGGTCCGTTGGCGGAGTATTACTGTCTATATTTTCTACAAATATCCGGCATCTCTACCAATACTTTCTCATGGTGGAAAGAGAAGAGCGAAAAACGATTGGCGTAGAAAATAGTACATATTATCCTAATTTACAGATTTCCAGTATCGATGGTAATGTCTGGAAAATGTGGAGCTATTTCACTGAAATTTACTTGCAAAATGTTTATTGTGTAACCAACACCAACCCCTCCTTTACGTTTTACATTCAGGCTACCAGTTCGACAAGTCCTTCACTATCAAGCCAGTTTCCTCTTAGAGTTAGTAGGCCAGGATTTTTCTATGGTGTTTGGAACCGGAAAATAACAATCGCCCACAAATGTCTTACAGCACTCAAGCTTTTAGTTTCCGAAATTATGTTATTTCTTAGCTCCCTCATACTTCTGTTCATGTCGTCATCAGTCCTCTTCCGACATATTCCACCAGGGTTAAAATTCCAAGTTTAAGTAATAGTATTGTAGTGTTCTAAAGTAGCACTCCAGATTACATTTTAAAAGTATTGATTTCAGCGCGAAGTCAAAAAGCAGACTTAAAAATTACATGTATATGTTATAATCGAAATCGCATACAGAACTCACGTAACCAGTGTGGAGAACTAGCGCAATTCACTATTCATATATTCATTTCGGGACCGGGAAATGAATTCTTGTTGAATTTTAACCGTTCGATGTTTGATTATATGAGATGGTAGGAACTATGAAGGATAAACGCACATATTGTTATGTTCCTAGTCCACTAAGAATCAGTAGGAGGAAAACATGGTCTCTGCAGGTAGCTTTCTCTCCTTCAAGATGTTAGGTGCATGTATAACAAGATTACGTAAAACTGAAAAGTACTTTTAGGAGGCCCTCAGTGTACCAAACTAGTACGCAAAACAATGATCGTCTGTATCAACAAAACTCAGCAAATCGTACATTGCTAGCAAGCATGAATTCTAAACATAAGGGGCGATATTGTTTGAACCTGAAACCTTCAATTTCGCATCGGATAACATATACCATATAATTTTCAGTCATTGTTGGGAAAATTCGGCTCCTTAGATAGTATGTGCTTGGCTTAAAACCATGCTCTATTTAAAGCTTATGTTTACCTGGGTATTCATGGGCGTTCGAAGGTCAAAATAGAAAGAACTCTTCAAGTTACGTCTGAAGGTGAAAATTCTTTGTTGTCTAAGGAAAGACTTACTAAGTAAATAGTTAACCATGAACACGATTTCCACTAAGACGTAATCTGGGCTTGCTGTAAAAACTTCTTGTCAGCAACCGAAATGGAAAGTTCATGATGAGCCATTAAATCCAAAACTGCTTTTTTATGTTAATAAGTACCCGGAAATAACACACAGGTCACTATCCGAATCCTATGAGAAATAGAAATATCAAACATAGCCTGATAGAAATTTCACTCAATGACCAGAAGCAGTAATGCTCAAAGGGAAAAGAGATGGAAAAACAGTGGAGATAGGTTTGGACCAGTTTGGTAACCAAACTTATCAGAAACAAATGATTAAAGTAAGTTTTTAGCCAGACTTTCTCTAGAAAATGAAGTCTTGATTGATTCCTAGACCAAGCAATTAAAACGGCTTGCGAAATACCATACGGAAGTGTTCACTTGCTGTCGATTTGACCACTGTCCCAGAACAGCTTAAATGGACGGTCGATCTGGGTTTCTAACCTTTCAGCAATGTTGAGGTCATTAGTAACCTCCTGTGTGGAACCAGGAGGTCCTGATAGGTTAACTTCAAACTACCTGATGGTTGTGGTCTCACTTCATTAGCAAACCTGAATGATTTCGGAAGCTGGACATACTACCATCAGACTAGTTTCGATCTCTGAGAACCGTAGCTTAATAAATAGGATCTTCGCAGAGGAATGTTTTCAGTTAGCATTGTTTGACTTATTATCTTTTGTTATCACCCATCATTTAAGTAACTCGGTAACAACCAACCTATGGGAAACAACCCGGTTTAAGCGTGGATGTGTATGTGTGGATCAAATATTCACCCTTCGGTGTCATGTGTGGCAACTTTCACATTTATTCCAGGTCGTATGTAGACGGAACCTTATCGGTATTCATATGATCTATTCTCGTTTTTTTCCGCGTAAGTTGGTTTCAAACTCTTAGCTCCAGATCCATTTATTATTTTAACTTTGCCGAACTTCGTTTTTCCTATGATCAAGTATATCTCCTTATTCAGTGGTAGTATGCAGGCTCTTGACACAGCCGTCCAGTTGGGACTAGGTAGAAATATTGTGGATTAAGAAAGTTGTGAGAAAGATACGTATGCAGAGGAATATTTCCTTGTACATATCTTCCGGTCGTCAAGTCCTAAGTAAACAGAAAAAGAAATGTAATATTTGTTTCATAGCAATGAGAGCGATAACATGCGAGAATGAAATATTCTTGTCGTATACAAACATAGGACTAGAGGAAAATTGTAGAATTTACCTGAAAATAAAATGTTAAATCAACCAATTGTTCGAATAATGACCATCGTTGCAGATCATAATAAGTCATTGAGACTTGATTATTATCTGATCGGTAATTAAACTTCTTGATAATTTATCAGATACATTGCAGAGATTCTTCGTCAAATACATCATTCTGAATTTTATTTCTTCATTTTAGTCTTCCAGCTCATTTCGTCAATTGGATATGATATTTAATCTACTAGGATCACCTAATGCAATGGAATTAATTGACTTAGTTGGTTTTCCGTCATCTAGCATAGATTTTATTCGTAATTGTCCTGTACGACCATTTAATCATGTTGCTGTTTCAAGAATACTCGTTCCGGCTAATACTCATTATTTTCAGTCACCGACAGAAAATCCACCTGATCCTAATTTAATTAATTTGTTTACAGGACTTCTAAGTTTTAGTTCAGTAAGTGGAGCATTTAACGTTTATTATTTATGTGATACTGGCGTCTTCTCTTCTATCAAGGATACATACAAGGATGTTGCTCTTTTTGCGATCCGTCTCCTTGTCTCTTTCTTTTGAAAGCACAAACAGTCACACATTTCCTTAATATGTAGAAAATATATTGTTTAACTGAGTATCCTAATTATGTGGATATTGTTCTTGTGGTACTGCCATAATGCTCACTCTCACGATTGTGTTAGCTGAAATCTTACTAGAGTATAGTAATTTCAAATTTTGTCATTGACGTCATACCCATTCGTAAATACCTGAAAATATATGTTAGAAATCCCTTGATAAATGTCAGTCTTCTAATCATCTACGTTATACTTTACTGTTGTGCCGCAATCGGTCGTGTAATTTATTCTTATTTATTTATTTATTTGAACACATAAATATTGGTACAAGAGAGCGGCAATATATATGCGCCAAACAAAACAATGACCATTCTTAGAGAAAAGGGAAAAAAGGTAAGGCGCGTAAAAAAATGAGAACAATAACGAAGAGATTGGTGTAAGGTAGTGTCAAATTAATGAAAGAACGGAAAAGTACAATCGGAAGAAATCTCTCAGTTAAGGAAGATACAACCACTTTTTTATGAAGAAAGTAAAAGAAGGTTACAACAGGATCGCCACTGGCTTCTATTCCGAGCCATATCTGATAACGTTTCTAGCCACTGTGTAGCATCTCTCGGACCCCAGCCAGGGAGTCGTGAAGGACCAACAGAAGCCAGTCCTTTGCAGCTTTCTTTCATACCACGACACCATGTCATGCACTGACCACCTCTCCGCTTCCTCCAACCAGTCCCAGAGTCGGCAAATAATGCACGACGTGGAATTCTCTAGGACGACATTCGGAGAACATGTCCAAGCCACCGAAGTCGGTGTTTCAAGATGGTGACACCAGTTGGATTATCGTCTATGTGCCCGAACACACGATGCCGAACCTCTGCATTACTAACACGGTGTTGCCACTGGATGTCAGCAATCCTTCGAATACAGCGATGATCGGGCACGGAAAGTCGTCTAACGTCATCAACTCGGAGAGGCCAGGTTTCACAAGCATAGAGCAAAACTGCTCTCACCGACGCGTTGTAGATCCGACCTTTTACAGCCAGACTAACATCACGAAGGCGCCAAAGGTGGCCCAGATTGGCATAAGCCGCTCTGGCCTTCACTATACGTGCATTGATCTCATCACTCACACCACCACCAGCACTTATGCAGCTACCCAGATACACGAACTTCTCGACTATTTCTATCTGCTCACCATCCAGGGTGAGTACAGGATTGGAATTCTGCCAGTCTTGTAGAAGTACTTTGCACTTCGAAGGTGCAAAGCACATACCATACCTACGGACACTGATTGCTAACTGATTAAGTGCGTATTGCATGCCTTGGACATTATCGCACAGTAAGACAATATCGTCCGCATACTCAAGGTCGAGAAGTCTTTCTCCAGGCAGCAGATCCACACCACCATTACTTACATTCATCAGAGCTGTTTCCAGAATGTCATCGATGGCAAAGTTGAAGAGGAATGGTGAAATTGGGCAACCCTGCCTGACCCCACTGCTCGAATGGAACAATGGAGAGAGGTGGTTGTATGCCCTCACTCTGCCTGAGGTGTTTGTATATAGGGCTTTTAGGATGTTAATAAACTTCTCAGGCACACCCTTCTTCAATAGACAATCCCAGAGAACAGTCTTGTTCAACGAATAAAAGGTAGCCCTGATGTCAAGAAACACTACGATTGTTGGTCAGTGATAAGTATGACAGTGTTCTAACATTTGGCGAAGGGTGAAGATATGATCAATACATCCTCGACCAGAAGGAAACCCAGCCTGCTCCTCGCGAGTCAATCTTTCTCGGGTTTTGAACAGCCTACGAAGTATGACGGAAGCCAATAGCTTGGACGCAAGGGGAAGTAGACTTATCCCCCGATAGTTGTTACTGGAACGACGTGAACCCTTTTTAAAGATAGGGACAACTATCGACTCATTCCATGACGTTGGTACACTCTCTAGTTCCCAAACCTTTGTAAACAACGTCGTCAGTTCCTTAGTCAAAGTCACCACCATCTTTAAAAAGAGCCAGAGGTAAGTGATCTGGGCCCGGTGATTTGTAGCGCTTCAAGAGTTGGAGTTCCTTGCGGACTTCCTCCTCGTTTGGTGGATCAGTCGTCACCGGCCATGGAGGGCAGGACAGTTTGACCGATGCTGCCGGAGCAGTAGGCCAGTTGAACCGCCCTTCAAACAAATTCTGCACATCGTCCAGGACGTCGATGGATGTTAGTAGTTGGCGCTCCGTCATCCTCACAGATTGTTTCACTCACACCAGACGTTTTGCTGCCAGTGGCTAGGATGAGTTGGAAGAGCTTCCGGTAATTGCCAGATGCAGCTGCTGCTTCCAGCTCATTAGCACGCTCCGACCACCAGGCTTCTCGGTCCTTACGCAAGCTCTGCCCAATTTCCTTACGTAACATCCTTCGTTTGTGGTCAAACTCACGGTCACCCGGAGTAGACCGACGGGCTTCAATGAGTTGTAAGGAACCTGAAGAAACCCAGTGCTTATAAGCGGGACGTTTCGCGAACCCACAACTGACTGTACCCGCTATTTTCATGGCGTCATGCAATTGCAACCAATGCTCATCTATACTTTTCGGTGGAGTGGTAGCTAGCCTAGAGGCTAGCTCGGTTCGATACTTACTAGCAACAGAAGTTGCAACCAGTTTGCTAACATCAATCCGTTGGCGGCGGTCACTTCGTTGTCCACTGAAAAGTAAGGTAAGATTGGCGCAGACCAAGGCATGGTCAGAGTCCAGATAGGTACTCTAAAAGGAGCGGCAGTCTTGTACATAACCACGCCAGAGGTAGCTGATCGCGATGTGACTAATCTGAGTCCAGGCTTGAGATGCAAAGGGAGGACGCCAGGTGGCACATCGGCGATGACTGTGCCGAAAGTTAGTGCTAGCCAGAAACAGGTTGTGGTCTGTGCACAGTTGCAGTAGACAGTACCCGTTATCTGTCCTGCGACTAACAAGTCCCCATCGGCCACCTAAATGACTCTCTTCTGTGTCTAGACGCCCGACCTGAGCATTCATGTCTCTGGCTAGTACTACAATATCTGTCGAACGCACTTTCTGGAGAAGAACAGATAACTGGTGGTAAAACTCATCCTTGATTGCATCCGGGCTGCAATCTGTCGGGGCATAGGCGGAGATGACGAAAAGACATCGTTTCTCACGCCGATTTCTTCTCACTTTGATGGAACTTTCTAATCTAACAGCACATAACCGACTGTTAGTGGGGATCCAATCGATTAGTGATGATGATCTCAACCAAAAACTCAACAACCTCCACAACCCCTATACTGATAATTAACATTTGCTTACTAGTGACTAGCTTCGTGAGGGAATTCTCGGAGTTTTATTGAAAAGGCGTGACCAGTGGAGCTAATCCGTGCCGGGTAGAGACAGGTATCTACCTCAGTACAATGGAAGTTGGTCGCGCGATTTCGTGGGTTTGTTGATGTTAGACACTAACACCATTGGATGCCGGCTTAGTGGTCTAGTTGTTTAAGCGCCTAGCGCGAGACAGGTAGGTCCTGGGTTCGAATCTCGTGGGGGGCGGGATCGTGGGTGAGCACTGCTGAGGAGTCCCATACTAGGACGAAACGGCCGCCCAGTGCTTCCAGGTTTCCAACGGTGGTCTAACATCAATTGAATCATGATCTCAATCAAAAACTTAACAATCTCCACAACCCCTATACTGATAATCTTTTTAAATACTTGATAATTGCCATGAAAAGACGAAATTTTTCCGAAGTTGGTAAAATATTAGCTCATGTTGCATTTTAAAAAGTCTGATCAAATAATAACTCGTTATAGTATTTGTATACGAAATAAAGTGAAAACTAAACAAACGATAAAATATCTAAAGATAAAGAAATGAAACAGTTTAAATCACTATTCTCAATATTTAAAGTAAATACCATCACGGTTGGTTCAATATTGTTCTTGAATTTGTATTTCCGTGTAACATTGGCCTCAACAAATCCGATATTACATTAAATTCACTTATATAATCCGTTTCAACTATGTCATACAGTAGAGGGGGATAGCTGTTTGTTAACTGCTTTGATCTGCTTATTGGTTTTATTTATTAAAACTGCCAGTTAATTACAGGTTTGGTCATTCCTACATTGAAGTTATGATTATTCTCTCTATGTATTTGCTGACACATGAATTGGTGTGCACAAAATGATGTAATGTACTCGTTTAAAATCTGTTTGAGTGTTTAGTGGAGGATGACTCCAATCTAGCCATTGGAGAACGTTTCTGGAATTGTTTTGAGTTCTATATGGTTCAGATGTCATATATCATCATTTCAATTCCGTGTCAACAGTATTCTAACGCAATTTTGAAGTGCATTATATTAAATGTCGAGTGGTTGAGAACCTGAGGCATTTGGAAAATTGTCTTTTTCTAGTTTGGGACTGTTCTACAATTTCGACTCAGAGCGGTGGCTCGGTCCTTAAGACGTCAAACTTCCGGTCAGTAGTTGTGACTATTGTTGTAGAGCTGCACAGAAGGGAATAAAACTGTTGACCTGGTTATCAGTGGTTCTTCAGTTACTGATATCAGTTTATGACGAAATTACTTTCAGACTTTTCAGATCCCCAGCTTTGGTTTTGTCCTCGTGTGACATTAATAAAAAACTTCAATAAGTATACTGATTGTTTCCTTGTGTGTGTTCTGTGGATTTTCGTTAAAATTCTATATTATTTCTCGTCTAGGATCTGATAGTTAAGTTAAATCCTTACCCTTTCAATCATTAGCATTCAGCCTGTAATATCCCCAGCACAGATCATAATTATTAATAATTTCTTTTGGATGTAGTCCTTTCTATTTTTTGTTATATATCTATGAACGTTTTGTATCAGTCGTTGCCTACATCCTATCAATAGTATACGTGGATGGCTTATATAAATCTTAAGATATGTGTTGTACGTCACTCTTGTGCTTTGTCAAATAATACAATACAAGCAATAAAAAGCATTTCTACAAATTATTTTTTTCAGTCGAGGCGGTTAACTGCTGAACAAGCGCTAGATTCACCATTCTTAGTTGGAGGTAGAGCTAGATTTCATACTTGTCTGTGCTGTTGTTGTCCACCACGTAATCAAAGTTCAATAATGAGTGATTCACCTACCCACTGGAGTAATGTAGCGAAACAAGTAAATCATCATCTTTTAGCTGTTGCTTCAGTGGGTACTCTGTCATCATCTGGTGGTACACTACCATCTTCACTTCATTCATCTATGCTATCACAAAGTAGAGATATAACGTTGCGCATCCCTTTATTTTTGTCACCTCATCTAATGATACCAACTTCTCTTATACGGTATAGTTGTATTAATTTGGAACCAACCTTTCAAGATATACATGAATACACTTATTTAAATACTGAAATAGAAGTGAATAACTTGTTTGAAGCTAAACGTGAGTTTTTAATTTGTTGACTTTATCATTTTAAAGTAATTTACTCACAATGTATACGTTTACATATTCTACATCTTGTCACTTTGAGTGAGTGTTGTTTATACTATCCGCGTTGTTAGATCTAAAATGCTGAAGTTAAATGTAACCTTCTACGATCTAGTGATTAGCATTTGAGTATTGTTCAATCACTTCTTGGCTGACCATTTTACTATTTTTTAATACCACCACTATTGCCTGATGTGAAATCGTCTTTATCTTAAAATTAAATGATACTTCTATTATGCTACGTGTTTGTATATACGGACTATCTGGTTGCATTCCATGCGGTAACTGATCAATGGTTGGAAAGATTGGAGTAACATTTCCTGAAATTAGTCGCCGTAGCATAAATACATTCACTCTTCATCTTAGTCTAAATCTTAAGTTTTCATATTTCTTTATACACACGTTTTCAGTATAGCTCCTCATACCATATTCTCAATGTTCACTTCTTTTCATTATCAGTGTTGCTGCACTATCTCGATTCCTTTGTTATATATGGTGTAGATTTCATTTTATTTGTGCTAATATCACATGTCAGCTTGCGCTAATGCACAGTTGTGCCTGGAATTTAAGTTAATAATGACTAACTGATGTATAAAATTTTAGGTCGTTTACATCTACATATTGAGTAAATCCATCTAATACAATATAGGATGATTCAGGCACTCAATCTAATTAGTTTGAAACAGTCATTGATAAATTTATTCATATTTCATGCGATTACATATAGTTGACATGATTCATTCGAATAATTTTATATGACCTTTTAGTACTTATGGATATAAGTTTATTTTTTGTCGACTTTATAGTCAAACTAGAAATGGAATTATGACAGTGGATTTCAGAATTAGACTATCAATTTTAGTCAATGAGAAATTACGAATTATGCCAAGGGATATCTAAGTATACAACTCTTCTTCAGTAGAATACATTCTATATGCATCTCATAACAATATCACTTATTAAGTCTATGTATACACTTATATACGTTGCTATAAGATTTTTTATGAATATTTTACTTCGATTGTTTACATTTGTGCCCAAGTTAAGACCTTATATATATATATATATATATATATATATATATATATATATATATCCTTTTTGCTTCGTAATTTATGTTTATACTTTTGTGAATATGTTTGTTTGTGTCGCCTGTTTCTATGGTATTATCCCTTTTTAAATCTACATAAAATTACTTCATATTAGGGGTATTTATAAATCATCTCATATGTTGTATATTTTAGCTTCGTATGCTTTAACATTGCTTTATGCATATACAACGTAGACAATTTCGGTTGTTTATATTGTAGTCTTTGTAAACTAATATTTTTTCAGAGTAGTTGTTGTTTTTATTAGCTGCAGGACGTTTTTAATTCACTGCTATTTATATTCAAACTTGACACAGTATGTCTTTGGATGTATGCTTTAGTGCTCTGAATAGTACAGTAAAGTAGTATGAATTGTTTCCAGTTAATATATCATTCTGACTGCTATCTATCTGATGTTTTTTGTTATTTAATATAAAAAGTTTGGGTTTGCAGAGCTGACATACTAACTTTTTATTCGCATTTACTATTTATCTTGTTAATTTTATCTTGTACTTATATGGTATGGGATTTTGAACCAATCCAACTTTGTGTTAGGCTCTATATTGGTTATGACTGACTATTACTTTATCAATGATATGAGTACAATTATGAATAATTTTTGACTTATGCATGCCCCCAAATGCCTTGGTATGGCCGAGAGCGGGGTGGGTTCGCCCTCCCTCTCGAAATACTCTCACACGACCACGCGTATACAGCCTCTGCCAGGGAAGTCCTACTCACTGCCTTCTCGTGGCGGGGGTGTTGTTTACGAAACTGAGAGGACGAAAAGCGAATGTCCGGCGCTTTAACCGGATTTCAAATCAATGGTGCACATGGGTTCCAGTATCCTGCGGGAACAAATGGCGTATGAACCAATTTTCGGTCACCGGCTACCATGGAACTGCATCTCCTTACGACGCTCCACTGCCTTGTGGGTTAGACCATCAGGTCAAAGGCTCGGGGTGTGGCCCCCTAAGATAACCAACCACCTACTTCGGTTTGGGCACCCGGGCAGTATCACAGCCCACATACAATTAATGAACTGAACTGTCTATGATCATGGGAACTAATTCTCTTTCGACGAACATTCAAATGATTCTATTATTATTATTATTATTATTATTATTATTATTATTATTATTATTATTATTATTATTATTATTATTATTATTATTATTATTATTATTATTATTATTATTATTATTATTATTATTATTATTATTATTATTATTATTATTATTATTATTATTATTATTATTATTATTATTATTATTATTATTATTATTATTATTATTATTATTATTATTATTATTATTATTATTATTATTATTATTATTATTATTATTATTATTATTATTATTATTATTATTATTATTATTATTATTATTATTATTATTATTATTATTATTATTATTATTATTATTATTATTATTATTATTATTATTATTATTATTATTATTATTATTATTATTATTATTATTATTATTATTATTATTATTATTATTATTATTATTATTATTATTATTATTATTATTATTATTATTATTATTATTATTATTATTATTATTATTATTATTATTATTATTATTATTATTATTATTATTATTATTATTATTATTATTATTATTATTATTATTATTATTATTATTATTATTATTATTATTATTATTATTATTATTATTATTATTATTATTATTATTATTATTATTATTATTATTATTATTATTATTGTTGTTGTTGTTGTTGTTGTTGTTGTTGTTGTTGTTGTTGTTGTTGTTGTTGTTGTTGTTGTTGTTGTTGTTGTTGTTGTTGTTGTTGTTGTTGTTGTTGTTGTTGTTGTTGTTGTTGTTGTTGTTGTTGTTGTTGTTGTTGTTGTTGTTGTTGTTGTTGTTGTTGTTGTTGTTGTTGTTGTTGTTGTTGTTGTTGTTGTTGTTGTTGTTGTTGTTGTTGTTGTTGTTGTTGTTGTTGTTGTTGTTGTTGTTGTTGTTGTTGTTGTTGTTGTTGTTGTTGTTGTTGTTGTTGTTGTTGTTGTTGTTGTTGTTGTTGTTGTTGTTGTTGTTGTTGTTGTTGTTGTTGTTGTTGTTGTTGTTGTTGTTGTTGTTGTTGTTGTTGTTGTTGTTGTTGTTGTTGTTGTTGTTGTTGTTGTTGTTGTTGTTGTTGTTGTTGTTGTTGTTGTTGTTGTTGTTGTTGTTGTTGTTGTTGTTGTTGTTGTTGTTGTTGTTGTTGTTGTTGTTGTTGTTGTTGTTGTTGTTGTTGTTGTTGTTGTTGTTGTTGTTGTTGTTGTTGTTGTTGTTGTTGTTGTTGTTGTTGTTGTTGTTGTTGTTGTTGTTGTTGTTGTTGTTGTTGTTGTTGTTGTTGTTGTTGTTGTTGTTGTTGTTGTTGTTGTTGTTGTTGTTGTTGTTGTTGTTGTTGTTGTTGTTGTTGTTGTTGTTGTTGTTGTTGTTGTTGTTGTTGTTGTTGTTGTTGTTGTTGTTATTATTATTATTATTATTATTATTATTATTATTATTATTATTATTATTATTATTATTATTTACTACGTCATTATTCACCCTCCTTTATCCCCACTCTGTTTATACTTATTTTTTTCGACTTATACAGCAGCTCGTCTTTGGTGGAAATTCGACTGTATCTAAACGTTCTCGAGTCACTGTTTCCCTGCTTCTCTTAACTCTCACTTTTTTAGCACAACTCTTCTAGTAGAAGAGATGATAATGAACTCTCTATGTCTATGGAAACTACTTTTCTCGCTTCGAAAAACAACCAAATGATTCAAATTATTATCATTACTATTATTGTCATTATTATTACTATTATTATTATCACTATTATTATTATTATTATTTGCCACATTATTCACCCTCCTTTATACTTATACAGCGGCTCGTCTTTGGTGGAAATTCGACTGTATCTAAACGTTCTCGAGTCACTGCCCGGTTGAAAATTGTATGTTACCACCGAATATGAGTACTGAAGCAGTTCTTCTGAAACCACATGCACCATTCAGACTGGCTGCCTTTAACGTTCGCAAACTTATGCAGGTCAGACAACAAATAGGGCTGGCTATGTCTTTGGAAAGTCTTCGTATCGATGTCTGCTGTCTATCCGAGACCCGTATTCAAGACTCTAGCGAAGTACTACAAATTCGCTCTACATCTATCACTTCAAAAAGCTTGTTTTACGTGCGCTTATCCGGGGACCCTGTGGCATCTTCGTCTGGTCTTGCAGGCGTTGGTGTCGCACTAAGCGCTAGAGCTGAGGCAGCACTAGTCGATTGGATCCCCACTAACAGTCGGTTATGTGCTGTTAGATTAGAAAGTTCCATCAAAGTGAGAAGAAATCGGCGTGAGAAACGATGTCTTTTCGTCATCTCCGCCTATGCCCCGACAGATTGCAGCCCGGATGCAATCAAGGATGAGTTTTACCACCAGTTATCTGTTCTTCTCCAGAAAGTGCGTTCGACAGATATTGTAGTACTAGCCAGAGACATGAATGCTCAGGTCGGGCGTCTAGGCACAGAAGAGAGTCATTTAGGTGGCCGATGGGGACTTGTTAGTCGCAGGACAGATAACGGGTACTGTCTACTGCAACTGTGCACAGACCACAACCTGTTTCTGGCTAGCACTAACTTTCGGCACAGTCATCGCCGATGTGCCACCTGGCGTCCTCCCTTTGCATCTCAAGCCTGGACTCAGATTAGTCACATCGCGATCAGCTACCTCTGGCGTGGTTATGTACAAGACTGCCGCTCCTTTTGGAGTACCTATCTGGACTCTGACCATGCCTTGATCTGCGCCAATCTTACCTTACTTTTCAGTGGACAACGAAGTGACCGCCACCAACGGATTGATGTTAGCAAGCTGATTGCAACTTCTGTTGCTAGTAAGTATCGAACCGAGCTAGTTTCTAGGCTAGCTACCATTGTACCGAAAAGTATATATGAGCATTGGGTGCAATGGCATGACGCCATGAAAATGGCGGGTACAGTCAGTTGTGGGTTCGCGAAACGTCCCGCTTATAAGCACTGGGTTTCTTCAGGTTCCTTCCAACTCATTGAAGCCCGTCGGTCTACTCCGGATGACCGTGAGTTTGACCACAAACGAAGGATGTTACGTAAGGAAATTGGGCAGAGCTTGCGTAAGGACCGAGAAGCCTGGTGGTCGGAGCGTGCTAATGAGCTGGAAGCAGCAGCTGCATCTGGCAATTACCGGAAGCTCTTCCAACTCATCCTAGCCACTGGCAGCAAAACGTCTGGTGTGAGTGAAACAATCTGTGAGGATGACGGAGCGCCAACTACTAACATCCATCGACGTCCTGGACGATGTGCAGAATTTGTTTGAAGGGCGGTTCAACTGGCCTACTGCTCCGGCAGCATCGGTCAAACTGTCCTGCCCTCCATGGCCGGTGACGACTGATCCACCAAACGAGGAGGAAGTCCGCAAGGAACTCCAACTCTTGAAGCGCTACAAATCACCGGGCCCAGATCACTTACCTCTGGCTCTTTTTAAAGATGGTGGTGACTTTGACTAAGGAACTGACGACGTTGTTTACAAAGGTTTGGGAACTAGAGAGTGTACCAACGTCATGGAATGAGTCGATAGTTGTCCCTATCTTTAAAAAGGGTTCACGTCGTTCCAGTAACAACTATCGGGGGATAAGTCTACTTCCCCTTGCGTCCAAGCTATTGGCTTCCGTCATACTTCGTAGGCTGTTCAAAACCCGAGAAAGATTGACTCGCGAGGAGCAGGCTGGGTTTCCTTCTGGTCGAGGATGTATTGATCATATCTTCACCCTTCGCCAAATGTTAGAACACTGTCATACTTATCACTGACCAACAATCGTAGTGTTTCTTGACATCAGGGCTACCTTTTATTCGTTGAACAAGACTGTTCTCTGGGATTGTCTATTGAAGAAGGGTGTGCCTGAGAAGTTTATTAACATCCTAAAAGCCCTATATACAAACACCTCAGGCAGAGTGAGGGCATACAACCACCTCTCTCCATTGTTCCATTCGAGCAGTGGGGTCAGGCAGGGTTGCCCAATTTCACCATTCCTCTTCAACTTTGCCATCGATGACATTCTGGAAACAGCTCTGATGAATGTAAGTAATGGTGGTGTGGATCTGCTGCCTGGAGAAAGACTTCTCGACCTTGAGTATGCGGACGATATTGTCTTACTGTGCGATAATGTCCAAGGCATGCAATACGCACTTAATCAGTTAGCAATCAGTGTCCGTAGGTATGGTATGTGCTTTGCACCTTCGAAGTGCAAAGTACTTCTACAAGACTGGCAGAATTCCAATCCTGTACTCACCCTGGATGGTGAGCAGATAGAAATAGTCGAGAAGTTCGTGTATCTGGGTAGCTGCATAAGTGCTGGTGGTGGTGTGAGTGATGAGATCAATGCACGTATAGTGAAGGCCAGAGCGGCTTATGCCAATCTGGGCCATCTTTGGCGCCTTCGTGATGTTAGTCTGGCTGTAAAAGATCGGATCTACAACGCGTCGGTGAGAGCAGTTTTGCTCTATGCTTGTGAAACCTGGCCTCTCCGAGTTGATGACGTTAGACGACTTTCTGTGCCCGATCATCGCTGTATTCGAAGGATTGCTGACATCCAGTGGCAACACCGTGTTAGTAATGCAGAGGTTCGGCATCGTGTGTTCGGGCACATAGACGATAATCCAACTGGTGTCACCATCTTGAAACACCGACTTCGGTGGCTTGGACATGTTCTCCGAATGTCGTCCTAGAGAATTCCACGTCGTGCATTATTTGCCGACTCTGGGACTGGTTGGAGGAAGCGGAGAGGTGGTCAGTGCATGACATGGTGTCGTGGTATGAAAGAAAGCTGCAAAGGACTGGCTTCTGTTGGTCCTTCACGACTCCCTGGCTGGGGTCCGAGAGATGTGCTACACAGTGGCTAGAAACGTTATCAGATATGGCTCGGAATAGAAGCCAGTGGCGATCCTGTTGTAACCTTCTTTTACTTTCTTCATAAAAAAGTGGTTGTATCTTCCTTAACTGAGAGATTTCTTCTGATTGTACCCTTCTGTTCCTCTACTATTGCTATTATTATTACACTACGTTACACCAGTCCCTTTGTTATAGTTATTTTTTTGTTATAATCTTTTTTATGTTTCTCAATTTTTTTTTCGTAGATTCTCATTGTTTTGTGTGGCATATTTATATTCCGCGCACTCCTATACCAATATATATGTGTTCAAATAAATAAATAATAATAAATATGCATCGTAACTAAAAATTATTTTACACATTGTCACGCGTAACCTGAATAGTAATTTTCTATTTGTGTTGCAGTCGGAATTCGTCTACCTTAATGCTTGTTTACAAGTATGGAAATGAGAGTATTTTTTAAAAATTTGTTTATAATTTTTTAAAGTCAGTCATTCATACTATTTTTTCTTTATACATTATATATTCAGAAATATTATGGAATCTAATTCAGCAATATTTCCAAAGAGATCCTAATCGTACCCGAGTTGTGATAAACAATTCTTCGCCTAATTTTCAGTCATTTATAAAGTGAGCACATTATACGGTTGTTTTTAGTTCATTACGTTTATTAATTGGGTAATGTTTTATCATATTCTTACTTGGTGACTGGAACACTTTACTTTAACTGTTAGGTTGTGAGTTCGAAACCGGCTCCACCTACTTCGATTTGACTAGCTTTAAAATATCACTAGAACTTGCACTATTGAAGTATGGCTCAAAGTTTAATTCAAACATCTATACATGGTCCATGAGTAAATTAGCCAATCAGTTGACAAAACTACGGGACTAGTTTTTTATCTAGGTTTCGAATTCTTTGGATTCTCTTTTTAAATCACGGGTCGACATCTGCTTCAAAGTCGTTTCTCACGAGTCATTTAATGTTTCAGGTCTAAAGTCGCATGTAGTCGTGACTTTTTGTTGGAGTCCTGAACTAGGTCCTTTACTTCTGAAAAATTCTCCATATAGTTTCATTTTATGATAAGCATTAATTTCAGCTTTCTTGCGAAGTAATGACCTTCAAGTTGAATTTTAGTTCAACCTGATGAGTAGGTTGTGTCTTTATCGTATATTTTATGTTGTTAAATCTAAACGATGAGAGCTGTGGCATTCGTCTGTTTTGTGGATGTTATTATTGTAGTTCCACTGAACCTATTCGTCTGAGACCCGATCGAAGCTGCTACCTTGACGCGGTGGTCGGGCTTGCCTATCGTGATGACCCAACCGAGCTATATTGGCTGGAACATATGTTCCTGCAGGTTCTACCATGCCAGGCAGGTCGATTGGAGAACGGTGAGACTAAAAGCAGCAACTCAAGGTTTGAGGGCGAAGTCGTACTGCTGACTGTACAGAGGTGTGACAGCAGTAAGGTGTTTCCCTCGGACAACCAGCATGACAGCGATGCTGCCTTCCCACAAGGAGGGGTGGGGTTAGAAAAGGTCGACCCTAAAAATGCACACCTCACCTTACCTCACGGATTTCCGTCTCCGGCGGTAAGGCCCCTTGAAGAACGGAGCTAACACGTCAAAAACCTTCCACAAAAAGGCCGTGCGCGACCGGCCTCAAGCAGTTGTCCCTTGGGCTCTGCGGTCACGCTCCCAGGTCGTCAAGACCAACACTAAGCCAATTTCCATTTCAGGTTCCTCAAGAAATACCCTTCCACGGTGTGGGCAGCCGGGAAGTGACATCAGCCCTCATACCCGTAACAGCACAAGAGACCAAGGTGGTCACATTCAAATCCTTCCTACACCCCCTAATACCTCTCTTATCCTCCCGACTAACCCTCCTCACGTCTCTTTATCACCTCGCACCGCTAGGGCAAACGATTCGAGTACGTGGAACGCCATTCCTGGTCTCCTGAAACCACGCTCTAAACTACACGTTGGAGCTTTTAACGTACGAACACTTTGCCAAATAGGACAGCAGGCTTCCTTAGCTAAAACTTTAGAATCTCGCGCCATCGATGTGTGCTGCGTCTCCGAAACGCGCATACAGGATCCAAGTAGCGTCATTCATTTGACCTCAGCATGCCAAAATAAAGAACCGACTCGATTTACGCTTCGTGTATCTGGAAGCCCTGATTCTGCTTCCCGTGGCCTCGCCGGCGTAGGTATAGCATTGAGTCCTAGGGCAGAACTAGCTCTCTTAGAGTGGATCCCAGTAACAGTCGTTTGTGCGCTGTCCGACTGAACGGAACAGTAAGAATCCGGAAAGATAGGGACACTCGTCGTTGCCTCTTCGTCGTCTCAGCCTATTCTCCCACTGACTGCAGCTCAGATGATGTAAAAGATGAGTTTTACAGAAAGCTTTCGGACCTTCTCCGAAAAGCTAAGCGCTCGGATGTAGTAATAGTGGCCGGTGACTTTAATGCTCAAGTAGGTAAACTAAGCGATAAGGAAAGACACCTAGGTGGATCCTATGGTGTCGTGGCTCAAAGAACAGATAATGGCGACCGTCTGTTGCAGCTATGCTCAGATAACCGCCTGTTCCTTGCAAATACTAACTTTAAGCATAAGGAAAAACATCTTTTAACATGGCGACCCCCTAATTCGTCCCAACGTTGGACCCAAATAGATCACATCGCTATCAGCCACCGATGGAGGGGCTCGATAGAAGACTGTCGCTCATTCTGGAGCACATGCCTAGATTCAGATCATGCTCTAGTGCGAGCGCGTATTTGCTTGCGTCTTACTGGACGTAGGAAAGACGCTGCAAGGAAACCTCTTAGGGCCTACTTAATGATAGTCAAGCTAAGAGTATATTTCAGGAACAACTAGGAAAACAGTTAGGCAGCCATGTATGTGATGCCCACCCCGAGGCAGCATGGAACGATATCCGAAAAGCTGTGGAGACAGCAGTGATATCTGCTAGTAAGGTAAACCGTAAAGTTAGGGAGCAACACTGGATCTCAGCAGCATCTATCGCACTGATAGATGCTCGAAAACTCATTCCACCTGGCTCTGAACATAATGAAGAGCGGAGTCAGCTTAAGCGCAAGCTGACAAGAAGTCTACGCAATGATCGCGAACAGTGGTGGGTAGCGAAAGCAAGAGAGATGGAAAAGGCAGCGGCAATAGGTAATAGCAGACAATTGTTTAGACTCGTTAAGGAAACCGGAATTAGGAACCCGACCGTTAGCGAAACAATCTCAGAGAAAGATGGACATATTATTCATTCTCAATCCAGGAGATTGGATCGATGGGCAGAACACTTTAGGGATCAGTTCAACTGGCCTTCAGCCACACTTCGGTTTCCCACGATCTCCAGTCAACCTGAATGGCAAGTTAATGTAAGTCCTCCGTCCCTTTACGAAGTTGAAAAAGCCATAGGAAATCTGAAACGAGGGAGAGCAGCAGGCCCTGACAGGTTTACTCCTGAGATTTTTAAGGATGGTGGTCCAGTATTAGCAATGAGATTAACTGAGGTCTTAGGTAGAATTTGGGAACTGGACGTAATCCCATCTGACTGGTCTCAATCACTGATTGTGCCAGTTTTTAAGAAAGGACAAAAGTCCTCTTGTGATAATCACAGAGGAATCAGTTTGACTAATATAGTGTCTAAAATATTAGCCTCAATAATACTTCGACGCCTAACTAAAGCTCGTGAAGAGCAGACTAGAGAAAACCAGGCTGGTTTTCGACCTGGACGTGGTTGTATCGATCAGATATTCACACTACGTCAGGTTCTAGAACACAGACACACATTCAGACGCCCCACAATGGTAGTATTTCTCGACCTTAAGGCGGCATTCGACTCCGTTGATCGTGAGGTTCTATGGCAGTGTTTGTCACTGAAAGGAGTACCAAAGAAGTACATTAACCTTATAAAGGCTCTCTACTCGAACACAACTGGTAGAGTGAGAGCTTATGGCGAACTGTCATCAGAATTGATTACCTCAAGTGGTGTTCGTCAGGGCTGTCCACTCTCTCCATTCTTGTTCAACTTTGTCATTGACGTACTTTTAGAGATAACACTCTCCTCATCTAAATTTCCAGGGGTTGAACTTCTACCAGGAGGTTCACTTGTTGACTTAGAATATGCAGATGACATAGTTTTATTTGGTGAAGACGCTGACAAAATGCAGAGTCTTCTGACCACTCTAAGCAACAATGCAAGCATGTTCGGGATGCGATTCTCTCCCTCGAAATGCAAAATGTTGCTTCAGGATTGGGTTACATCGACACCCGAACTAGTGATAGGGAGTGAAGTAGTTGAGTGTGTCGACCGCTTCACTTATCTTGGAAGTCTCATCAGCCCTTGTGGTTTGGTGTGTGACGAAATCTCAGCACGGATACAGAAGGCTCGACTAGCTTTTGCCAACTTGCGTCATTTATGGCGTAGGCGAGATATCCGTCTATCAACCAAAGGACGTGTTTACTGCGCAGCAGTTCGTTCCGTCCTACTTTATGGCAGTGAAACATGGCCGGTAAGAGTAGAGGATATCCGTAGGTTACTAGTATTTGATCATAGGTGTCTTCGAAACATTGCTCGTATATCATGGGACCATCGAGTAAGTAACACAGTTGTTAGGAAACGGGTACTAGGTAAAGATGGCAAATCAATTGATGACGTAGTGAAACTTCATCAGTTGAGATGGCTGGGACACGTGTTACGTATGCCCAACGACCGACTGCCTCGACGTGCTATGTTCAGTGGTATAGGAGTAGGTTGGAAGAAAGCTAGGGGCGGCCAAACCAAAACATGGCACAAGTCCATGAAGTCACTGACAAGTGAACTGAGTCATGTTGGTAGGTGTAGACTACCTGGTTGGGGACCGCGAGATGACAGCAACCGATGGTTAGAGACCCTGAATGACATGGCTCAAAATCGTTTGCAATGGCGCAGGTGCATCCACTCTCTGTGTTCTCCCAAACTCTAATCTTCTGAATTCTTCATGTCCCTTTTTTCCTCTTTCCAAATTTCTTTCACTGGATTATACTCTTTAAATAACATCTCCAAACCCTAATCTTCCCGATTACTGCTTATACTCTTATTACCTCTACCACTACGGGATTTGAATCGACAAGTGCATCTCTGTGCTAATGTGGTGTGGCAACTCGAACTGATGTACGTACGTACGAAGTTCTACGTTGTTACTGACTGACTGACTGACTATTCGTCTGAGAAGATACACTCACATCTACCATGGTTTTTTTCCAATATACTCGTTTCATATATTAGATTGGTTCAGTACTGTATGCATTCAAATTAACCTTTTTTTTCATCTTTCACTTGGGTAAAATGTTAACGTTTCCGGTTGTTAATCCTATAGTTTTAGCTCTAAATTCTGTTTATATGAATATACAACAGTTCTAAGTTACTTTTCTTTTGATTTCCTAATAATACTGATATGTCTCTTACATTCATGGTACATACATCCTCATTTTTATCAGATATTTATTACTTTAAATCTTTTAAAATGTTTGTAGTTTGTTGATATTTTAATCTGTATTCCATAACATGTTCCAAAATTTCCTTATAAAATACATCATTTCTGTCTTATTGACTAAAATATGCATAAGATCAACATTTTCTAGTCTACATAATTGTTAGTACTTTTTGGTGGAGTTTTGTTTTCTGAGCTGGATGGTTTGGTCGTGGAGCTTTCATCGTTCTTCTGAACGACACCATCAGCACAAACTTCAGATAGAAGTAAAATGTTCGAATTTCTCCATATGTGTTTCACAGCTTGTTCTGGGCACCTCGATGTTGATTGGTTCTTATTGACCTTAAATTTATCATTGTTTACTTCTTTGTTTTGGTTGTGTCTCTCATTGGTTTGATTTTTGTTCCTATATTCATGCATGATTTTCCTGATTGGTTGATAAATTGGGTTGATCTCAATATGTTTGTTGATCGCTGATTGACCTGAGTGCCAGGCTTCTAAAAATTCTCTGGTGTTTTTGGAGTTTCCTCTGTCTAAGATTTCTACATTTTTCCAATCGAATGAGTGTCCGTTGTTATCCACGTGTAAGTGAAGAGATATCATGGCGTTTGACTGCTAATTGATGTTCATGTAGGCGAAGGTGAAGGGGGGGTCCGCTTTGTCCGATGTAGTGTTTGTCGGAGTTGGTACAATTTATTTTGTAGATGATGTTTGAATTGTTTTCTTTTGTTATTTCATCCTTTGGTTTGCATAGGATTAATTGAGGTGATTTTGTCGGTTTGTGTGCCACACCTATCTTCTTCACCATCTCAATTGTTAGTACTCCATTCTATATTCTGTGTGATGAATCCTCATCATTTCTTTTCTATGTACTCATATGATCAATCGTTAGTATACAATAGAGATTCGTTTATATCATAGTTAATAAAAGCATATGATAGTTTATTGCTTAGTTTTTCATAAATATGCGTTCATGTACTAGTTTTTTTGTCATATTTATTGAAATGGTCTTAAAATGTTTTTTTTTTACTTAACCGACTAAATTACATGTCAGTAGAATAGTGTTTTAACCATTAAACATAATTGTTGATAAAATCTTTAAATCAATTAACCTTAGTTACAGTTTTGCTAATAAGTTTAGTAGATTTAAATTGTACTTATTTGTATTTATCGATATCCACTTTTCAATGTAAAATAGATTTTGTTTCCTTTTTGATAACCCCATTAACATTATCATTATTTATCAGTTGAGACTACTGTTATAATTTATATTAACCCATTGTAAGAAAACAATATAGAATATAAAAATATCCGATATTATTTAAACCAAACAAGTACGTCATTAATAGTATGACTGTTTTGAATTATTATTTATTTTAAAGCATATAGTTGGATTTACATGATCATGATATAGTTTTATTGATGTTAGGTCATTGTTTACTGACTAAAATAGGAATATCATATTAAATAACTAAAGATTATTTAATCAGAAACTTACAGTGGTCTTGAGTGCTGTTAGAGAGAGGTATGAGTGCGATTATCACTTCCCGGTTGCCCACTCCATGGAAGGGTTCTTCTGGAGGTGCCTGAAAATGAAATTGGATTAGAGGTGGTCTTAGTGACCTGAGAGCGTTACCATAATGCCCAAGAGACAACTGCTTGAGGTCGGTCACACATGAACTTTTTGTGAGTTATATTTATGTTAGCTACGTACTTGTTGAGACCTTACTACCGGAGACGGATATACGTAGGATAAGATGAGGTGTGTATTTTTAGGATCGACCTTTTCTAACCCCACTCCTCCTTGTGGGAAGGTAGCATCGCTGTTATGCTGTTTGTCTGAAGGAAACATCTTACTGCTGTCACACCTCTGTAGAGTCAGCAGTACGACTTCGCCTTCGGACCTTGGGTTTGTTGCTTCAGGTCTTACCGCCCTTCAACCAACCTGTTTGATATGGTAGGACCTTGAGGAACTATTGTTTCAGCCAATATATCTCGATTGGTTCATCACGATAAGCAAGCTCGACCACCACGTCAAGGTAACAACAACGGTCATTTTGACTGACTGACTGAATCAGAAACATAATAACAGTCAGTATTAGTTTAAACTGCTCATAAAATTGTGAAACTCTTCACTATTTTAATATTCATTTTATTTTAAAATCATTGAATGAAACAATTTAACAATGATAAATAATCATCCAGATTATTTTTTCTTCCATGTTTTCTTCTTTGTTTTCCAAGTTATCTCTTTTATTTCCTCTAATTATTTTCTAACATTATCCTATTTCTACATGTATAACACCTTGAAGCAATACATTGTTACTATGCAATATTACATTTATTGAGTTTATATTATTCTTATCTATTCAATATCATAATCAATTTTAGAACGTTTTAGTTATTAGTGGTGTGATTATGATACTATTTTTTAAATTTCTTTTGGAATTGTCTTTTAGACAAACATCTTAAAAAGTTAATCATGGAATGTCAATTTGTACCCTTATTATCATTATTATTATTATTATTATTATTATTTTCTAGTTGTTTGTCACTAATTATATCTTCATTTACATTTAAACAAATATAATTGATGTATCAAGTAAATTATTTACATAAATTAAATAAGATATAATAACAGAATTGTACTAAATCTTTGCTTAGATTGTAAAAGATCCCATATTAATTGAAATAATCTATTATATTAAATTTAGATTTTTATCAGATGGGTTTTGTGGATATTATAGTAATTTCAATGGTTAAGATAATGAGTCATTTAAAGCTAGACCACCATGGAAAACCTGGAAGCACTGGACGGCCTTTTCGTCCCATTGTGGGGCTCCTCAGCAGTGCGCATCCAAGACCTCGCCACCTGCGAGATTCGAACCCAGGACCTATTGGTTTCGCACGCGAGCACTTAACCACTAAACCACTGACCCGGCATCGAACGGTGTTAATGTCTAACTTCAACTAATCCACGAAGTTGAGTGACACATCTACCATTGTCTCCAGTAAGTTTCTATCTCGCAACAGACCTGGTTGAGCTCCACTGAGGAGTCCCACAATAGGACGAAACGGCCATCCAGCGCTTTCAGGTTTTCCATGGTGGTCTAGCTTCAACTGACACATGATCTTAACCATTGAAATTAGATTTATTGTTAAGTAATTTCATGTAATCAGTCCATTCTATACTGTTTTTCCTTTCTGTCTTTTTTGTTTTTCACTTCTCCACAAGGTTATTCTTTTTTATCTATAACATTCATATAGTTTTATTTATTTATTTTCTTTCTTTTTAATTTATCTTTTATAGGTCTTCAGTTGCGTTCAATTAATATTACAACATGTTATAATGAAGACTATTTATATAACTACAAAACTTTATATTTCTATTCAATGTTAATTATTGTATTATAAAGTTTTGATCCCCTCTTTATTAATCAATTCATGTAATATGTAATTATTCTTTTTGATATATCTTCTTTTTTTTGTGGCTTTTCCTATTATTACTGCACATTTATATGTATATTTATAGTTGAATGTACTACAAATACGATTTCTTCCTGTATTATTATTGTGACTATTTTTCGAGTGCCTTTAATTATCATTTTCTGTTCTATTTGTTGTTGCTGTTTTTTTTGTTAAAACCGCTGAGCAGTTGTACTTAATTATCTAATTGGCTTTAATCTAATCTATTGCACGTATTTCGGAAAAATGAATCTTGTTATATATATTCTCATCTTCTTTGTTCTATTCTAGAAAAGTTCTTTATTCTGTCTATATACGTAACTTGTAACAGTGTGTACATTCTAAAATTTTTCTATACCTTTTTTTCTTTCTTTCTCATTTTCCTCATTGAATTATTGTATAATCAATTCAACTGATTCTTTTTATTAAATATTGGGCTGTGCTGTCTATGTTTCAACTACGTTTAAAGTGGTTAATTCTTACAATCCATCATATATATATATATATATATATATATATATATATATATATATATATATATATATTCTTTATATTGGTTATTTGCTTTATATTCTTATTATATATATATTTATTAATCAGGCTGTGATATATCAAAGGGCACAATTTCAAGTATATCCTTTAACTAAATTTGTTATATACATATATATGGATTAATATTTACGCTTGCCATTGGTATCCTAGTCATCATTCCCATGTTTATACTTCAACAAATTACGTACATTGTTTTTGTGATTACTCTTTTTTTCTCTTGTTAAAGCACATATTTCTATTTTAACTCTAATAACTAGTATAGGTCTGTATTGTCCAAATCCATTTATGTTTATATGTACTTTTTTATTATAAATTAAATTCACTTTATTTGGTGTTTTTATAAATTCTGTGTTCTCATTTTCAAATAGTAAGGTTTATTTTTAATGTTAATTATCACCTGTTGTACAGTATGTGAATTCATGAGTACTATAGGTACTTGTAATATTTAGACTTAAATAGTGGCGGTATCACAGTCGGTCACGACTAGTTTTTTAATGGGTTTTTACGATCGTTTATTGGGAACCTATTGTACGTTTACATATTCTTCTTGTCCGTCAACAACACGTAAAATTCAACCTTATTTTCAAACTGTGTCATAGTCTGACAAAACTTTTTGATCATTTCCGGAACATTTCAGTTGTTCTTTTGATCAGTGTTCAGTACTTAGGTATAACATATCGTACAACTGGAATGGAGATTTTTCCAATAAAAACATCTGGTTTACTGACATCATTGTATATAAAATTGCTACTTCAGAATCTGATTTAAGACAAATTAGAATTGAATCGCTCTATATATAACTTTTCGTAGTTTAGGATGGAATCGTAGAAATTAAACACAAATAAATTCACTTGGTGTTGTTTACTTGTCTGTTATTTGTAGTCTAGGCTGGATGTCATGCAGTGTGCTGAAGCTCATTTCAAATCAAAGAATTCAAAAGCCGTTTTCATCTCATTACAGCTTTCTGTTTGTCTAAGTAAGCCGCTAATTTTAGAATCCAGTTTCTCTGAATTCAGTTTATTACTCGCAAATATATATATTTTTTACTAATCAGCAAACATTCTTCAAAATTAATTGATAATTTATGACATCATCTTATTTATATCAGTTTTTAGTTTCTTGGTAACCAGATACACCTACACGACGTTAACCCTCGAAATGCCTACTTTTATCACTGATAAACGCTGGAAAGTCACAGTTTATAGTCAACTTGGTATGTTTAGCTGAATCCTGTATTTTTAACAAATTTAACGTCTGGACGTTTGTGATCAGGTAGTTTTTTACAAAGGTAGTTTATTAACTAGTTTGTGTGAATAATTGTAATTATTTCCCATGGAACTTTAAGCTCTACTCTTAGAATTAACTAGAGAACTACTTAGTTTTTTGCTATATATTTCATCATTGATGCTATAGTCAAATTCGCTATTTTATACCAGCCTCTGATAAGTTAGTTGGCTGGACTGTAATTTTGTGGAGAAACCAATCAGATTTAGAGTGTGTTCTTTTGGGTTTCTGCGCAAAATTCAACTACTCATATGGTTCGTGAAAACGTTTACTCTAATTCCTAATCATAGCTCCTTATTTGAAGTATCCATAACAATGGAGCTCAGTAATTTTTAAGCATCCATAATTAGAAACAAAATTCAACAAGTATCTCTTTTCAATTACCTTGTTATCAAGCTTTAATAACACCTCTACAATAAATAAACGTCATATTTAAATATATTTCGAAAATCTAGTAAATCATACGATATTGTTCTTGTATTTCCACATGAACTCCAGCACTTCAACCCTACTGTGCTAGATTGTAGATATATTAACATAGTCAATTCATAACAACTTAATAACCTGAGATAATAAACAATTAGATATTTGAGCGAACTAGGATTTAATTTGGCTTGTTGTAGTGCTGTTTGATCACTGGTTAATAATAAGATACTAGTTATTGCATCAAATGCAGTGAATTTCCTTTACCTGAAAGGGGTAAACAAACCATCACAGATTGGAAAAAAATCTCACTGAATTTGTGTAAAACTCAAATGACAATGGGTTTGAACATCTCGCTCATACGTGGATCGGCCAAAATACATAAACTTGTTTAACCGTTACTTCATGTTGTGGATATGTTTAATTGAATCGAATACTAGATCACTCAATGGTTGGAACTAGTTAGAAGGCAAGTGTATGTTCGTATTCCTTATATCATAAGCCTTATTTCCGATTTGTCGGTTACAGTATCCCACACTGACAGCCACTTTTGGTTTGATGTTGTATAATTATTATTCATTTTATGGTATGATGATACCTGGTTTGCGGAAGCTGATATTGTGTTCTGGTCTTGGCAAGTTTTAATTCTGAGTACCAATAAGGACTCAGAGTTGACTCTTGGCTGTTTGTGCTGCTGTCCATCCACTAATATACAGAAGATAATACCTTGATACGATAGGCTGAGTGGTTTATTCTTGAGGTTAGCAACGCATGAGTTCGAAGTTAGACTAACTGCATTGGGCAGAAAGATGAAAACTACTCTATCACTTGGTTGCTTGGCAAACGCGCGTGAAGGAGAAGATGAGACAACTGGGACGCTACTGGACTTGTTCCCGATTCAGATTAGTGTAAAAAGGTACATGAATAAATAGGTGACTAACATGACCACAATGCAAAAGCAATTAGGGAAATACAATTACGTCCAAAACTGGGGATTAGGGCAGAAAAATAGATTAGCAAATGCTCCGTTTATATCACAATAACTTAGGAACAAAAATGGATATTTCAGTGAATCATGCTTCAAACGGAAACTTATGGTTTGTTTAATAAGCTAGAAACAAAATTAAATATTGGTGTTTTACGAGCTTTGAATTAAGTAAAATAACGTACCCGTTGTTTGTTATGGCTTCTCTGTTCACATCATTAGCTCATTATTGGTTCAGCGTGGGGACAAGGTCATGTAAGTCTGTGTTCTGATTGGCGATCTTGTCACGTGATATTTAACGGGCCATTAGTCATAACAATTTAGTGACGGGAATTTCGCGGAAAAATGGAGAAAAAAGTTGTAACATGGACCTCAAAATCAGCCATAATAACTACCAGGTTTTTCTGAACTGAGGAGATAATCTCAGCATTAAAAAGTGGCACTCTTTTCTAAATAATTGCAATAACTTGCATCAGATTCTTATGAATAAACACTTGAAATCCATAGAAAAACTTCTAACGGGGCTACTGAATCGTTCATATTTTGGAGATATGATGAAAATTGATTACTTGATTTAAAATTTGCATACAGAAGTTGAAAACGGCTGCAGAATTAATGTGTGGGTGAAGGGCTGTGTAAATCGTTAATAAACATTGATTTAAACGATACAATGGCAGCCATACATGATCCTCGAAGTGTTCCTGTAATGGGCATTTCGGAAACATGCTCTGTAATAGCTTCAAATCTAGTTCTTTCCGAAGCAGAATGTAAAATCAGCGAATTGTTTAGCTCAAATATAAAGGGAAAAGAAACAGATGATTCTTTAAATGAAACTCCGAGTCCAAAACTGTGAAACTAAACTCCAGCCAAAACAATCTTATGTTTCACTTGATACTTGTTGAGAAAGCTGAAAGGACTCTTATTCAAAAACTAGTTGGAGCAGTACAATGAATACCAGGGTATCAAATGAAACTCAGAATCACTGTGAGACAAAATCTTCCTAATGACTTAACTTCTTATCAGATTTTTCATGTTATTTTACCAGATATTGCATTGTCTCAAGGAATCACATATTTTTGATTAAATTTACTACAAAAGTAAGAAAAATATGTCGAATGAACCAAATCATGATCGGAAATCTGATGCTATTTCGATAGATGCTGTTTTTTCTAATGATTCACTATTCCTCAATGAGATTTTTGATAAATATGAGAAAAATATTTCAGAAGAATCAATTCACTGTGATCTCATATCAAACGTTATTTGTCCTCATAATGTATTTGTTTCTGGTGGAAAACTTGGTCAATATGAAGCAAAAGTTCTAAGTGAGTTCAAACTTAATTGCAGTTTGGATAATCTCATAACAAATGTTGTTTATCTTCATGATAACTGAACAAATCACAGAGTAAATGATGTAGGAACAATATTATTATAAATAAAAAAATTAGGCATTCAAGATACCATTCAAGTGAATGCATATTTGCGATAAAAATAACATTGCCAAGAACTCGAAAACTTAAAATTTAGAGGTAGACATATAACAGGTGATCCTACATCACCGCAGTCGGCTTTGCGTCATGTTATTCGAAATCTCTATCAAATAGTACTATGTTGCACGATGCATGCCAGTTTATGGGCAAGATTAAGACGTTAAAAATGCTATAGGATTAACTGTATTTATTTACTCAATTATATTTTTATATTATCTGACATATCGGAAATGGAAACAGAGGGATAAATTCCCGTGCATTAGAACATGAACGGCGTGGTCACATTGCCTCTTGTTTTTTGTATCAAATATATCACTCTCCTCCCAGGTTAGATGTGTTCTTCAGAGATTCTAGACGTTGTACTTGCTTTTATTACGTTAATTTCAATGCAAGTGTATTTCAGTTAGTCAAATAAAAATAACCGGAAGTATGGAGACTGGAGATGTCACAAGTATTCGGAATTTGACAACGCTTTCACCAGTAACACCTATTATGAATCGTGCCCACCAGGTGAAATCAAAAGATAGAAGCGAGGAGATTCGAAGATATATTTGATAGGTGGATCGACTTATCTGGTTAGCAGTTGCAGAAGATGTTGAGCACGTTTTCCCACTAGTGATCTGGTGCGGATGCATGACCGAACGCCTTCAGCTAGGTGGGTTCCTTAAAACTAATGTGGTCAGCATTAAATGTCGAAGACCTACAGAGCTATTTATTTTGGGGATTTATTTACCGCGACGAGACTAATGGATTAAGAACTGTATAAGTAAACGCAATTCGAGAGATGTAAGGATTTAAAATAATGTATGTTCCTGAAATGTAAGGAAAACACTGTGATTGGGTATAAAATTGGATTTTTTCATGGCAATTGTTATAACTCTGTTATTTGCATTATAGCTTGTAGAGTCATGAATGGATTTAAGTTAAGCGTAATTGCTTAGTTTAGCTTGCAGTAAGGTTTCTCTGTAGGAAGTGAAACCATTTAGGATTGACAAATATCAGTCAAAGAGGTTTTGGGCACTGAAAATTAATATTAATACTGTTAGTTACAACCCACTAGACCGTATGAGGCCGTAAGTTATTAACGTGTTCTACCCTTCAGACAGGTGAATTGAGATTGTCTTCCAACATCATATTTACTGGCCAGGAAAACCATGTAATATCTTATTAGATTAGATAGTCACATAATGGGAAATATACGGTTGCAGCGTAGGTCTATTATTCTGGTAGCATAAATAAGTGTACTAATACTTACCATTATCAAAATTCAACAGGCTCCCTTATGTTTATTGTACGTCTGAATAATGCTATAATCTAATCTCCTTGATGCACACATTGTTGAAATACATTTTGCACACTAGTTCCACACGACAAGCAAGTCAGATATATTAGACTTTCGTATCGTGGATTTGATATTCACTCAATGTATGACACTGCTATGAAGTTAAGTAAAGTTAAAAAATATAAGATGCCGAACAGATAATACGTAGTTAAGTGTTGGTAAGGACAGATAACCTATCATGGATTAAGAAAAACGTGTTTCGGGTTGCAAACTTTACGAGTAGGACGATAAGTAAGGAGAAAAACAAAACACTTGAATTCTAATAAACTTCGGACATTAGAACTTTTTTTAATGATTGAACACGAATTAGAGGGAAAACACAATAGTTTAGGGTAGTTTGAGCTTTTGTGATTGATCATAGGTGATGAGCATCCACAGGTTAAGTGAGTTATCTCTCCACTTGAAATAGTAGCTAAAAAGGACATGGAGCACCATGGCATAAGTTACGCAACTTCAAACATTTAAGAAATTCCGAACTTGAGTTTGGGGTGTAGGAGCATAAGGACATAGCTAAGTAACAAGGGAAGAAAATCATTATGCTTTATCATTTGGCCTTCCAAGCTTGACTGAAGTTTAGGAGGTCTCTGAGTACCAAAATGTGAGTTATTATTCTAGCGTGTGTATAAGCTGACGAATCTTTTATGACAACATCGAGAGAGGACTCCAATTTCTCGGTGTCGAAATCTGGTTTTTAGTGGCTCCAACAAGATAGCATCACCGTAAACATTCAGAAATACCGAGTCAGAAATAATTCTCCTGATATTTTCATGTGTACCATTGATCCTCATAATATTTGCCCGATAGAAAACAAAGGGAAGGCTGGTATATATAAGTAAAGAAAATTTACTGTAAGGCACATATGCCGGAAAGAATCGTGCTATCGTACTGCGAAATGATACGAATACTCTTTCTTTCCTCAAACCGACCAGTCAACTTTACCACTTCACGACATCATTCTCTAGATTACGGTGCAGCCCCTGATAACAGAGTGATTGGAAAACATTTTATGGTATCGGATAGGGGTGAAAAGTCAACACACCATCGTAGAATTGTTAGGTCGACGTAGCACTTAGTGGATTATTGTATGTATACTAAACTATGCATCTCATCCGCTCTCGTTTTTCAAGTCCTATAGATAGTTAGTTGCATTTTAAAATTTTTATTGAGTCAAAGATGAAAAACCATCGGTATGATTTATACGAGGATGTATACCAATATTAATCTGTACAGTTTGCGTTCCTTAAGCACAATCCTATTAAACACTTTTTTTCAATTTTCCTTCTCATCTTCACAGGACAGCTGGAAATAAGGGCGAAAGTGAAGACGAACTTTAAAAGTCCGGTTATTTTTTCGTTATAATTAATAAAATCACAGCTTTTATGAACATGAAGTGCTGTAGAATCATGGTCTACTATTAGTGCTGGTCTAATAATGGACGTACTCCAAAAATGTGGATTCGTCATGATGTACCTGCCTAATCTATAAGATCATACGTGGAAGTCACACCATCGTCTACTCTTACTCATCGTATCTTGACAATCATCAATATGTGATGAAGAACACGTTTAAGCTGAAGATAGAACAATCTATTCATATGGACAAAAAAATGGCATAAGTACGACCACGCATGCAAGGCAAAGCCATGCCATCCGATCAATTCGAACTGATTGAATTAACTGGGTTCATTCTTCTCGCCTTCTTCATCGTTGGGTCTTCTCCATGTTAAATATTGAATATCTATTTTCCCAATTTTCTCGTGTTAAGCTTCATAGTTTGTGTGGTTAGGGCCCAAAGTCACTACAGTGCGTTTACCAACAGCATGATCGTTAGGTTTAAACTCTTGGTTTCTTCTTGTTTATCTTAGGGTTCTCACCGCTCCACTAGGAGTAGTGGTAAATAAGTTTGAGTTACAAATAGCTTTGCAGGTCTTTAACATTGATGCTGACTAAATCACGTTGGCGTGTAATAATAGTTGATACATTTTGCAAAGCTGGAACTTTATCCAGCACATGATTATGCTACATGATGTCATTATATAGAAAAAAATAATTCTGTTATTGAGATTCACTTTGATAATCATATCAAGACCTTGTAAGCCTCTTTTCGATCGTACGTGGTACTGTTGAATATTGTATTTGCACAAAGAGGTTATTTAAACTGTGGCGGTTGTGAAATTAGTAACACGGTAAGATAGAGATGGCGTTTGGTTGAGAATGATTCATTTATTGATTGGTTTGGTCTATGCCTTTAATTGGACAGTTGTAGTCTGTTAGAAGCCTAGGTTCCTGCCTGGAGGATTTGGTGATCCCCTGCTACTAGACACGGAAGCCTGTTAAGCGAAAGCTTCTTCTATTCCGTCCACAACCATTTGAAGCTGATTGGGCTTTAACGGCAATTCCAGACAACTGGTTGATCGACACAACTCGAGTTGTTTAGTAATTACTACACAGTTTACCTCGGGTGATCTGCCGTTAATTTCTCATTTCAATTAAGTTGTTAACGCATATAATGCGTTCATCTACTGGTATTAAGTAATTTTTAGTTGAAAGAGCTTGTATAAAGTAAATAGTCACCTGTGGGCACATGTACCCATAGAAACTGCGAACCCCGTTTGTAAAAGACTGTGCTTACTGTTTCCAAACTTTTTTTGTTGTTGAAATAATTGAAACTTTGGACTTTTAATTGTCAGTCTGGAGTATTTTGCAACCTTGGTGTTTGCTTTAATACTTGGATATATCAATTGTTTCTATTCAGTCAATATTTGTTCCTATTCATATAGCGACTTTTCAGGCTGCTAGGGAGAATCGGTAATCGGTTTGATTCTTGGGATCCGTATGTTTGTTACAGTTGTCGTGCAGTTTATGCTGTTCAGTGCCACAGTCACATGATTGTTAGCAAATGTTTCGGAGTTATCTTTCTCACAAGTAATTCCCCTAAATTATTTAAATTTCTAAAGTTAAATTAAAGATCTAGGTTTCCTTCTGTATACAATCTTTTTTCAAAGCTTCCCTTGTATGACGTAACAATAGTTTGTATTAGTCAATATGCAGTAACCGAGTCTTAAAAGCTTTAACGAGGTGACTTGCACTCAGTTGGAACTTTAAGTGATATAGCCCCGTAATTTTGTGGAGATGCTGAGAAATATTCGTATTGTCGAAGTGCTACAAACCTGGTACAATAGCAAATTTGAATTTCTGGAATTCAATATTCCATATGTAGGCTAAAGCTTAGAGTATGAGTCGCTCATCCGGTCATCACCGTTTCCAATTTTAAATATGGTGATTACGATGTGTATTCGTCATGCCTTCGATAGGAGTTCACGGTTAGAGTAGGGCACAACGTATGGGATTCCTTTGGCAAGACTAGATCTTAGCAGGAACTACTCTGCAAAATCAAAAATGGCTAGGGAAGTTCCAAGGAACAGTAGGTTCCTCGTATCCTATGAAAAAGTAGCCTATTAATACCATCTGTTCTAGATTTCTGCAAGACTATTGGCGCGCTTTGTAAGGTAACTTTAGTGTATAATATATTTGAATTAAATTATCTCTTCCTGTTGTCCAGTTAAAAACATTGATTAACTCTAAATTTGTGAAATATGTGCTTATTGCCTTCAGTTCAACAAAATTGAAGTTTGGTGAAAACCCAGTGTAGTCTAACTAATGGTAGAAGCCTTTAATGCGCTATATAAACAGAGCTTTGCAGAAACATTGGGATACAAGCAATTCTGAAGTTCCTTAAGGATAATGGTCCTGTTTCAGCAGTAAGACATTAGTATATTGACCGTAATCTGGGAAGTAGGAGCTATTCTGTTTGACCGGTCTCGATCTTTGATCGTTCCAGTTTATGAGAAAAGACAAGTAATTTTATGACAATCACAACGAAATCAGCTTGACTAATATAATATCAAAAATGCTAATCGTTGCTTAACTGCAGCTTGAAAAGAGTAAACTCGGAAAAACTAAGCTAGTTTCAGACGTACGTATGTGTACCAAGTGTATACTATTTGTCAAATCTTAAACATAAGCATGCTTATAGACTCTCGGTTACAATGGTGTTCCTTGACCTTGGGATAGGACTCAACTAAGTCGAGGTTTTGTGACGTTATTAAAAGGTTCACTAAGGAATTTCGAACCCTGGTCAAGTTAAAGCACGTGGCGAACTCATTAAGATTTTCAACCTCAAGTAGTGTTCGTCAGGGTTGTCCACCTTAGGCAACAATCCAAGCATGCTTGGGATGCGATTTTGTCTCTAAATACAAAATGGACTAGTCTACACCAGTACCCGAACTAGTAATAGGAAACGAAGTGTTCAAGTGCATTGACCACTTAACTTATTTGAGAAGTCTTATCAGCCCGGGTTTATTGGTTTTTGATGCAATCTCGACGCGGATTCAGTATTCTGGGTTCGCGTTTACTGAGTTGTGTCCATACGCAAACTGAAGGACGAGTTTTATGTTCAGTAGTTCACTTTTTTCGTAGGTGTGAACCATAGCCTTTAAGACTAGAAGATACTCATGGGCTACTAGTATAGAACCACAGAAGTCTTCGAATCTGCTAGTGTATTTTGGGACTATCAAGTAAGCTAAAGTCAGGCACAAATTAATAATTAAAAATATCAAGTCGGTTGATAAGTTGGTAAACCATCATTAACTGAGGTAGTTAGAACATGCTACATATACCCAACTACTGTCTACCTAGGTGCCAATGTTTGATCAAGGAGTAAGCTGAGAGCTAGCAATGATTAAGTCGATCATTGATGTTAGTCTGTGAAATCACTGACTGTTGGACTGAGTCATGCTACGTATTTGGCACCTACCCATTTGGTAGATTTGATGTTTATCTTCCCTTGGTCCATGAATCCCAAACGTACATCTTTTAGTCTTTTTTCTACTACTATCATTAATTCTACACCATGGTATTTTTTTGATAATTTTATCGCGTGTTAAATTGGTGTGGCTATTCGAACCGGAGCACATATTTTAGGTTCTACGTTGCTTATGACTGATCAACTAAATGTCTTCAAGAGACTACATTACTGAAGGAAGGAACAAACAAGACTAAAAAACATTGTGATTGACTGTTTGTTTATTATTAAATGCAATGCATTCGTCCAGTTTGAATTTTATCGAGGGGATTGATGTTACACATTTGGTTTGCATCATTTTGTATTAGACATTTCGTTCACTTGTGTGATTTATTTTTCAGACTCAGTTCCCTAAACTGGTGGTGGAAACTTATTTTGATCAATTTCCGGCGTTCACATATGCGATTACTTTGATTTTCGATCGGATTACTGGGAAACGGCATTCTTACTAGTCATCAAGTCCTTTTTTAATGCCTAGAATATGCACACTAAACTATATTATTCTCTGTTCAGGAGTTGTCATAACGTGAGATTCATGTTTTAATACAAAAGTTTAGCATTGCGCTGATATTCCTTGTTAGGTCGAACCAGTTGGTTGAGAAAATTTTTCCTTACTCAAAGAGGTCTAATGGTTCAGTTTGTGTAACGAAGGTTAGCCACCAAACTTTTGATGCCTGTTTCTATTTTCATTTTCATTTTCCGACATAACAAGTTGGTTTATAAGTATATCAGGAATGTGATGGTAATCTAAGGGTCATTAGAAGTGAAATAAATTTATAAGTTGCAAAAATCTTTGTTCGTTTTTAGTAAAACTATCAAGTCAACAGTGCTAAAATTCGACTTCGATTGTAGACAAATCGGATGACTAGGTTATGGACGTTATACCAGAAGAGATAGGTGAGTCATTATATAATGTTGTCTTAAGTATGATAAAGTGGAGTTTGAAGGTAGCCAGATACTACGTAATGTCATGAAGTCGGTAATTGCCAGTACTTGTTTTAAACACAGGTAAAATTTTCGAGAACGTTGACTAAAATTGTTCAACCACAATGACAAGAAGTGAATGCACCCCTAATGTTCATGGGATATTTTACCAATTTTCGACTCATTGATTATTTGAATGCTTTAGTATCTTCACACCTTTTAGTAAAATCCCAGTTCGCCGCATTTTTCTTTCTAGATTTGAAACGTAATGAAAATCTAGTTGCTTATGCTTCTGGCATTTGATTTAGTTCATATAAATTTTCCAGTGTAATCGTGAATACATGAAAAGACATCTACACTTTTCTATGAATTAAGTTTTGAGACTCAGTGGGTTCGGTACACAACTTTGGATGGGTTGATCAAATGTTTACTCAGCAATGTTTCCTCCATTTCCCAGTCAGTCATAAACATCGTAAGACCTGACGCAAGTATGTATCGACCGGTATCACTTTATCACACCAACATAGTGTAAGGAGATTGTCGTACTGTATAGCAAAAGGTTCTGAATAGTGGTATGATCAATAGTTTAATTCATACAATATAATCTTAACGTACGTATTTCTTATTATTTGACTGTTTTGACAATTTTTTCTAACAGGATGGAGAAGTAACATGTACAGAAAGCACACATCAAAGCTTGTCAGACTCATTTCGTCGCTTTATGATTTTTAAATGTTCACTAATTCTATTGGCACTATGCAGTCTTGCTATAATTTGTCACAGGCATAAACGTTTAGACCAGAAACTAATGCAGAAAGTCAACTTTCAGATTGCAGCTGGTGTTTAGTATCCTCTCATGAATCGTATCTGAATTTCTCACTGTGATAGTCCTTTTTGTTGATCTTATGATTTAAATCAATACTGTAACAATGTACATTTTAGAATATTATTTTTTTCGTAAGCATCTAGTGAGACATACTTTCTGTTGTTTGTTTATTTAGGTGCCTTGGTCATCACGCAGTGTACACTATATTCACGGATAACTCTCATGTTTATAGGGTGACCTAGTAATAATCTGATTGGTTAATGTCATTATAGCGTTTCAAAATTCTCATATTTAGAACACAAATCGTGGTGCAATAATTATATTCTAAAACATTTGACAGTGTCTCATCTATTAACCAAACCATTCATGTATACACGTCCTACTTTATATAACGTCAAATTACTTAAAATAAAACTTGACATTAAACTATATGAGGAATAGTTTATACTTCATATCTTTCTTTCTACGAACCAATTCTTTCTTCTTGTACTATATCTCTATAGGCAATCTTTCTCTTATATATTACCACCTTTGACCTAACCACTGCTGTGAATCCGGTGTTCACCTTGTTGTGCTGATGTGGTATGGCAACCTGGACCGATGCACATATGTGCCTGATCCTACGTTGTAGCTGACTGACTATACTTTGGGTATTTAAGATAAATTTCGTTAACGCTGCAATAGGTAAACAACCCTGTGAAGATATTTCCCATGGCAGCATTCAAGATAGTCATTTGAAGATGTCTCAACCATATGAGGTCACATACTTGATTAAATTATAAAAAAAGTACATTAGATATCCGCAAATAAGATTCTCTTGTGTCGAGCTGTGTCCACTAGGACTGTGTCATGTAAAATAAGGTTTCTGATGTTCACACTTTTGCAGTCGACTAGTTTTGATCACCTTGTAGTATTATATACCAGTTTAATAATCGAAAAATCAAATCTATTACATTTTCCCGGAACTAATTGAGTAGCTTAGCTTACATGTAATGTAGCAGTAGTTCCTCGTGTCAGATTTAGCTTTATTGCAATTCCCCTAAAAATGTATACATCTTAAAAACAACAAAGAGCAGTAGGCAGAGACTGTCTCAATCATGTCAGTCAGTTGACTTTATGGAGAAATGTATCTATAAAGAAAACAAAATTACAATATTCCTTATCACTTGCGATAACAGGCATTTGTTAAGATAGGTGATTTCGTCACAATTTTTACTAAAACAACTATATAATAGCTTTCATACGTGGTAAAGGGTGATTATCATGTTTTGAGACGGGATAATTTTCGAAGGGCATGGAATTTATTTTCATAGGCGCCATTTACCTGTACCCTTCTCCCTCCAGTTAAAGTCATCACTTTAGCTGGTCAATTGTATGCCTATCGTAGGACCCACAAACTAATAAATTAGCTTTGTCAATACCAGTTTTAGTCAGCGTTGTTTCGTGCTGTCACGTCTATTTCAAATAGTAAAGCTGATATCATTTTCAGATAAGTGTTCGTTGGCGAAGGATTTCTAAAAGAAGTAGAACTGAGGCAACCAAGAGCTTATAATGGGACCTACTGTCATTTCATAATACGAGATATCGCAACTCAATCGACTTTTATGTAGAATACGTATACAAAATGAAGGGTCAAGCTCAGCTACCGACAGTTCAAGCGATACCCGCTCCGTAGGAAGCTTGTCAACCGTTAATGGTATAGGTTACATAAATTTTCAGTATGTAAAGTTGGTTTTGGCTAATTCCATATCTCGGAGAAAGCTTTTGTGTTTGAGAGGACTAAAACGAGCTGTTCAGCAGTATGGAAAGCTCTCATAAGGTTGACGAAAGACTAGGTAGAAACGTAAGTTTTACGCATCACAATTACCTGCAATTTTCAAAAACACTTCTAGAAAAAGGGTAATCAATTAGCAACTCTGTTGTGCAAGGATAGTGGGTGTTTGTAGAGGAGTAGATGAAGCAGAATTCGAACATCTCCCTACTACTCATCTTCAACTCAACAGATATACTCAGTAATGGGATGATAGGGTTCTAAACTTCACTTAGTACAAACAGAATTATACTGACCTTAGCTAATGATCACACAATAGTGGACAATTAGTATAGAAGTGAGATAAACCAGATTGTACGCAACACTCAAGAGCGTGTCAGCTTTGTAGACCATGAAGTGATCTTTCACCTCTTGAAAGATCAATAGACAACTTAGTTTCGTCCCTTAGTATCCGTTAAGCTGTGCCAAGTCCGTTGCTATTGGCAGGTCAGAAATCTCATACTCCACCTTAATTAACTGGGTGATTCTTGCCGCATAGAGGAATTGATTAATAGAGTTGGTTTGGATGTAAAAGTTATGCGACACAATACGCATACACAGTCAGTTGCCACAGTTTCAGCACGTTGTAGTCATAACAATTGTAATCAACATCTGCACATGAATAAATAGATTTGCAGTGCAAAGTTGTTGTTACTCTATATATCTTTAACTGCTTTTTTATATAAGCTCAGACTGGACGACCATGCAAGACGTCGAGACTACTCAGTTTCGATCGCTGGAATCCCAACTAAGTTAATTTGTTTGACAAACTTCATCTGTCGAACTGTGTCCGAATCTTGGCGAAACTGTTTATAAATAATGGGAAGAAACAAAAGTAGCAAGACGTTTCATTCCCAAGTTACTAGTAATATGTAATATATGTTGGAGGAAGGGGTGTGCTAGAAGAGGAACTTTTTCCGCTCGATCCTGATTGAGACAGGCAAACTCTGATAATTGTTGCGAATTGGATAATAAGAGCACCCGCAAAACTGGCTGCAACATTTGAAGGTGTTACTGATGCTCCGGCTGTTCAGTGGTATGAGTATTGTAGAGATATACGCGCAGTGAAAATGACAAGCTTACACAAGCTGTCTGGGGCAGTCAGGTGAATTGTTGAAATAGGCCAAACAGTTGTCGGAAAACGAAAATTCAACAGAAGACGTAGTGTTAAAGAAGAGTGGGTAAGTAGCACTTCCATAAATGTACCTCACAGGTCCTTGGAATATACGACAGGTCATCAAAAAAGAGACACTTCTGACGGGTTAGAAATCAACAGACTTCAACGATAATGGCAATTATACGGGAATATCCGCAGCTGGGTACTATAATATGTACGGATGATTGGAGTATACCAGTGCTTACATAGGTTTGGTTATGTGCACCGTGTCGTTATCCACAAGGTAGACATACAATACTGTTGAGCCATTGAGATACTATAATAATATAAGTTTGCAGAATAATTATGGAGTAACATTATTGAAGTCAAAGGTGATAGTTGACTGGATTTTATTCTTAAATATATCAAATACTTGTACACAGCTCGAAACGATCATGGCAAGAAAATCCTAAACCAACAGGTTTAAATTTTAATATCTTGACCAAGGATAAGTATTCCAATCAGCATCAAAACGATTGCAGTTTGGCTGCTTAAGAGTTCCATCGGGGTTTCTTCTAGACTCAAGTGAATGAGTTATTGCTTTGTCTAGTCGCGAAAGACCACTATAACGATATTCATTTCCATCTTGATTAAGTTTGTATTTGTAGTGTGAAGTGAAAAACTCCTTGAAGAAGTCATGATTGGCCCATCTTTTGTTGTGCCACCTTCTTAGGTATGCACTGCTTAGATATCTGGAATTTTCTTCATTAGAATGTAATAAAGCCTATAGAGGAAAAGTGTTTAGCAAAACAAAGTGCAATAAATTTATGAAATGTGGATCACAGTTTAAAGTTTTTGACATTTTCCTAAGCATCTTTGAATCAAACGGAGAATATGCCAACCTTCCAATTAAGTTTGATCATACAACTGGGGTTCTTATAACTAAAATTAGGTTCTTTTTGTTGTTTAGTAACAATTTCTACAGGATTTTCTTAAGTGAGATAAACCTGATTAAGTGCAATTTTAGCGACTTTGTCTTTTATAGACAACTTACGTTGGTAAGAAAAACCCACTGTTTATGGGGCATATATACCGTATGATGAATTGTGGACTTAAAATAGTACACTGGGGCTTAGAAGTTAGAGCCGATATTTTTCATGTATAAGTATGATGATGAGGTATATCAAATCAGACTGCTACAAAAATCGCTGATGGGTCAATATATACTGGGAAAGATATCTCCAGTGTTTGATAACCAGGAAATCTATCCGAGTATGTATGAGAACCTACAAAAATTTCACGTCTAACATAAAACCCAACCATTTTTAAAAATGTCTATATATACCAACCTGAAAATTTCGAATAAAAGTTAAGCTTACTTCATGAACTTCTTTTCAAATAGGGACTACATAGGTCTCAGTATCATACTTCAATTGCTTGATGTACTGGAAAATGTAACTTCAAACTACTATCTATCAAAGTGAATATTATTCTTATATCTTGATGGCCCCCAAATGCCCTGGTACGGCCGAGAATGGGGAAAGTCTGCTCTCCCTCTCGAAATGCTCTCATATGGCCACGCGTATATAGCTGCCAGGGAAGTCCTACTCACTGCCTTCTCGTGGCGGGGGAAGGCACCAAATACATATGCACCACACAAATCTCATTCGATATGTGTGAGGGCTGTGATACTGACCGGGTGCCCAAACCGAAGCAGGTGCTTTTCTTAGGGGGCCACTCCCGAGCCTTCGACCTGAAGGTCTGATCCACAAGGCAGTGGAGCATCGTAAGGAGATGCAGTCCCATGGTAGCCGGTGACCAAAGATTGGTTCATACGCCATTTGTTCCCGCAGGATACTGGAGCCCATATGCACCATTGGTTTGGAATCCGGTTAAAGCACCGGACATTCGCTTTTCGTCCTCTCATTTTCGTAAACAACACCCCCGCCACGAGAAGGCAGTGAGTAGGACTTCCCTGGCAGAGACTATATACGTGTGGCCATATGAGAGCATTTCGAGAGGGAGAACGGACTCTCCCCACTCTCGGCCGTACCAGGGCATTTGGGGGCCATCAGGATATAAGAATAATATTCACTTTGATAGATGTTGTTTACAAAAATGAGAGGACGAAAAGCGAGTGTCCGGTGCTTTAACCGGGTTCCAAATCAACGGTGCACATGGGCTCCAGTATCCTGAGGGAACAAGTGGCGTATGATCCAATTGTTGGTCACCAGCATCCATGGGACTGCATCTCCTTATGATGCTCCACTGCCTTGCAGATCAGACCTTCATGTCGAAGGCTCGGGAGTGGCCCCCTAAGAAAAGCACCTGCTTCGGTTTGGGCACCCGGTCAGTATCACAGCCCCCACATATGTCGAATGAGATTTGTGTGGCGCATATGTATTTGGTGCCTCCTTGTACCAATATTTATGTGTTAAAATAAATAAATATCCTGATATAAGCATTTAGTCAACAAATAGGTTTAGTAGTTAAAGAATTTAGTTTTCGACTTCTGAAATGGAGATTCAAACACGCTCCACAACATTTCGGGCTGCTGTGTATTATTATTAGTTCACATAATACAGATGTGGCTCAAGACTGAGTACACAAACCCGTCATAGGCAAACGAGTACATGTTAATTTTTCAAAGTGTAAGACATACTTCGTTATACGTCCTTCGCCTAACTAGATCACTCTTCAAACAGCTTTGCATTTCTAAGATGTAGAGTTAAGTGATAAATACTTACTGTACCACTGAGTGAACTAAGGAGGAAACAATTGACGAAACTAACTTTTAAATCATAAGGTCGATTAGGATTGCATAACGACAGGTTTGTTTGGTTCGGTTCTGAAGAATCCAATAACTGAGAATCAACAGAAAGACCCCGATGTCTGAAAAATCTGCCATCTGGAAGCAGTCTACAGGCAAGTAAATCAGATTCAGTTGGTAACCCGTTCTCGAAAATAACAGGCTGTATCCGAATAAGATGTTTTATCTCGTATAAATCTCGGTTGACTGATGGAGTATTTTTAACGACTACCCAGTTGTGATTCTAAAAACATATGAAATAATGTATTACATTACTTTTGTGTCCTTTCCAAGACCATATTTTTCAAGGATGGCTCTCTGGTAGTGAATGACTCCCTTCATAGGCTTTAGCCGACAGATCATATGCAGTAAAGGAGGCTCCTTCGATTGGTTGAGCAATTGTTGAGATTCTTGCATTCGAAATAGACGTTTAGCCCATCCCAGTGGATTTTTTTTGTCATCACTCCAAGGGAGTGGTTTCGGTTCCTTCGTATATGACATGGCGTTGTGAGGTAAAGAAACATGAAGTGACCGACAACCGGTCACCAAATTATAAACCCAAAGTCGGGTCATTATAAGAAGGTAGGTTTATTCTGAATGTGTAGTCGTCTGAGTAGTACGATCTGAGGTGAAAAAGTACCATACATAATGACCCAGTAGAAATATGTCTAATTCAGAATACTTAGAGTACAAGGTCGAAGTATCTTGAATAACCGAAGTACCAGCTTATTCTAAGACGCAGGTCTTGGAGAGTATGGGAAAGGCACTATCTTTTTGTGAACTTCGTGAAGGTCAGATTCAATAAAGTCCTCATCAACAATAAATCCTGTCCACCAAATAAGTTGACCGAGTGGAGAGAGAAACTAAACACGGAGTAATCGGTACCATATATATTCACAGATAATAAACATGGACTTTTGTTCTAGTTTCCACAATGGATGCCACTACAAAGAAAATACGTTGGCAAGTCTAGGGACAGCGTGGAGACACTGATGCTAAATGCACGACAAAAATTAGGTTAAAACTGAGAACGGAACCGGATGGCGTATATGATTCAACAGGAGATGAAAGTACGTGGACACTTCTACGACCGGTTTTGAGTCGTCACAAAAATGCCAACAATGATTTGCAAATTTCACGTGGATTACGACTGGGGAGCCAACATTTCCATAGATAAATTCCGCCATTATAGGTTGGTCGAATGACTTTGACTAATGAACTATTTCTCATACTACAACTGTATCAGTTAATATTTCTAGCTGAGTTAATCCGGTGAAATACGCCGCACTTATCTTTACTTTTACTGTCTGTCAAAAAGGCTTACAGAAATATACGAAGTCTAAAGGTTTGTAACTGTTTGAGAAGTGACCACAATCCCTAGGATGATTAAGGTATCAAGATCTAGTAAGATCACATTCTCTCAATTAACGGTGTGATTACGGCTACTCTGGAGAAAAATCTCAGAGAATGTTTGATCGGGCTAAAGATTTTGGCCACGAGGGTAAACTATATGGGATAAATTATTAAAACTCATTATTTTGCACATTATTTCCCACGTGAATAAATGCAGACAATACTGGCCTTAACCGTCCTAATAAAAATATGGGGGAATACATTATAAATTTACGGTTATTAGAGGGGACTTGTAGTTTTTGAGAAAGCTGTTTTCACTATAGTGGAACAGACTTGATAAACTCATAAAGACGGTAGTAGTATTAGTGACCCATCACAAAAACTTATCTCTACAGTTATCAGCTACTAAGTTCAGTTGTGCAAGTGTGTCTTTAGAATACCTTATATAATACCTTGTGAAGTCTGGTACTATCCCTTTAGTTGACCATGAGCGCTTTAAATTGAGGCTGAATGTTTCAATGGCACCAATATATTAGTGATGAGCTAGTATAGACCAGCAGATTTATTAACACTCACTAGTTGATGTTATGGTGTTTTATTGTGGTAAACTGTAGTGCTCGATATGCTGCACGTCGTTGTTGGGTTTACTCTTATCTTTCTGTCATATAGCGGCTACAATTTTAAATGGCGAAGTTGGTCATCGTACGGTTTGTCTCTGAATCCCATGATCCTCTTAGTGGCCCACTGAAGTAGTTGTTCTAATAGCTTCATATTCCTTTTGTGAAAGACGGTGCAGAACTGTTGTTGATATTTAGATTTAGGTGAGTGTATGTCTTGAATAGTGACAGCAAGAGCCTCGGAACCAACATTCCTGGTTACCTCCAGGTAAAGTGGGTAGTAACCATGTATCAGAAAGGAGTATTTCTTGACTCTCCTATCTCGGCCATAGGTCTATGTATTTTCGTTGTACAATATTGATTTACGGTGGCACGTGGTGGGTTTGTGAAGAGGTTGTGATTTAGGTGATTTTTGTCGATTTTGTGAGAGCTCTTCGATGCAAGTTTTCCCGGGTACGACAGGTCCAGTTGGCAAGGATTTACTCTCGTTGTCCTTGGTCATGCGCTGTTTAACAAGACCAACTGACGCGGTAGTATATTCTGTTTGACTGCACAGCTTTTGCCCTAGTCCGCTCGAGTCATGGCCTCTGTGGGCACAATTTGTACTGCCTCTGTGCAAGCTTTATTGACAAATGTGGACATGGGTGTCTTTTAGATACATGAGGTCGTGTATTTCAATCTCATCCAGAATACTGGGGAATAGTTTCTGAAATACAAGCATAAATGCCATAGCCGCGGACTTGAGTGACCTAGGACCAACTATAATCCTCACTGCTTAATCAGGTAGGCCTTTGTGTGTTGTGATCAGTATTTCTGTGAGACAGTGTAAACCACGTAATTTCTCCATCACCACGTTTCATTGCTTTAGTATCCAACCCTTGTCAAAAAGAAATCTAGAAAAGATTTCGATAAACAGATTCGGAGAAGCTAAATTTTTTCCTATTTCAACGGACAATATGTTTTCGAACTAATAATAAGAGTTCAGTTCGAACACAGCAGTTATATGTCGACTAATAATGTCTAACAGCGTTTTACAAATAAAGTACAATGCTAGTGTATTTATTAAGATTACATTGTTTAAGTAAGATAATTTTGAGATGAAATGTTCATGGAGATATATTATCTAGGCATTGAATAGACTTGGGTTTCAGTGTGGCGTCAAGTCGCGGTTGATTATGACTACAGGAAGGCTACGTGCCAGTCACCAGGTTAGATCCCTCCGTAGGCCAAATATCAAAAGGCAATTGAACGTTGTACTAAGATTTATTTGTTGGCAATCTCGTGGTATCGAAACAATACCGAGATCGTACCAAAGTTTACAAGCAAGACTACTGAGCGTACACGAGTTCGTGCAATGTCACAGACAACGAAAGGATGTGTGTTTTTAGTACATTCAAACAAACAGATACAGTAAAACAATCACTGGTACAAATGGTCATAATAATAATTGTTTCCATTATACCAATCACGTTCTCTTCATGAAAGTAGGTAACTACAGAGTAATGGGATTATTTATTGGGCTCATAATTGTTATTCGTTACCAAGTCTTGGCTATAACAATTGAGTATGTCAGGGGCATGGACAAGGTTGAGGCAGAAGATCCACGGCTCCGTGCACCTCAAATGTAGCCGAAAAATAAGGAAAAGACTAGCAGCAGGAGGAACAAACAAGGGTTTGTAGGTATCGTTACCAAGTTCTGACTTGCTAATTTCAAATCGATTGGGCATTGGGTAGATTGTTAGAAATGAATAATATATTCGTATTATCCTAATGAGTAGAAAAATGGATTTTCTGACGTTACGTGACTCAGTATAAGCGACTTCCCTGAACAGGTGACTTACACTGGATCAGGAAATCTATTTTTTTATTCTTTAGGATATTACAAATACATTATTAATTTAAAACAAGGGTTTGTCTAATCAGTAGATATAGCTTGTGCTAGTTCTTGTCACTAAAACTGCGTAGCTAAGGAACAATTATTATTACTTGTTCCCACAAATAACAATGTGTTTTAAAGTATGACAAAATGAAGTGTGTCCGAATATGAGAGGGCAAGCTAAAGCAAAGTATCGAAAAGATGTTCGATAAATTTGGGGGTGTAATAAATGAAGGTGTATTGGTTCGAAATGCTTTATCATTCTATTACCCTTTGTAAAAGCCCGTACTGGCCTATTATGGGTTACCTCGAGAGGATAGCGAAGCAAATATAAGATCGAAAATATGATTCCTAGAAGCAAAAATCTATGGAAAACGACCTCAGTATCACTGAAATGTCTTCCTATCTTCACTCATGAACAGCCTGAGACAAGCAAATCGTTCAGCTCTACAAACATGGGTGAACTGAAATGGTAGTCCTCACGACCGGTGTTTGCTGATTAGTAGCTTCAACCTCCCTTTTTATGATGTTAGGCTCTTTTGAGGTGAATGTTGGATTGAATAATATGTTTTACTCGACGTTCCACGTTTCCTATCTCATATCACTTTTTAACGCAAAAGGAGTGAATATTTTTTAAAAGATCTGTGTATTTTATTGTCCGAAAAATTTGGAAGTTAACTTATCCGTAAAGAGCGAAAGTTGAGGGATACTTTATGCTTGTATACTGTAAAAATTAGGCCTAAGGACTAGCTGATCATATAATGTGACATTGACAACGCTATCACATCGTCTAGGTCACAACAAATTACATTTACCTTCATTAAACTTCATTTCTCAGATGTGGTGTTAGTTCTTCATCTAATTGATGTCAACTTTAGACTCTTCCGTGAAAGTAATGGCATTATTAGAAGGAGGGAATACAGCCTTGGGGTCATTGGCGTAAAAGAAGGGTTTTATAGCATTTTCTACGGTCGGGCACATCGTTAAAATTTTTTAGGAAGTAATGGAATAAGTACCCCACCTTGATTGATTCTGATGGTAACAGATATAGATTCATAATGTGAGCTAACTTTTGCCACTTCGGTTTATCTACTTAAGAG